GAGTGTAAAAGTTTAGTAATGTACTTTAGTTGGGATAATATAGTCGACTATCGGACACTCGATTACCTTAATACTAAGGAAAAAATTTACTTCTTTAAGATCATGAATGGAAAATTTGTGATTGAGAGCTTGAATGATAGAGAAGACACTTGGTTTCATGTTGCCACCGATGATGATATCATTTAGATAAACCAAAAGAATTACTCGTACACCATTATTATTTTAGAAAAAATAAGGATGAATAAATTTTGAAAGAATTAAACTCAAGCTCAAAAAGAAAATCATGTAGATAGAAGAATCGGACTCTTGAAGACTATTTTAATTTGTAGAAAGAGTGCTTTAATTTTCACACATAATTCAAAAATTGCTTATCAATAAAACTAGAAGGTCTGCTCCATGAATATTGTTTTTGTTAAAAAACCATTAAGAAAGGCATTATGGACATCAACCTATCGAATTGGCTAACAACGTGACATGATAATGAAAATCACATATCTAATAATGGCAAGCTTATGAATAGGGCTAAAAGTCTCTACAAAATCAACACCCTCTTACCGATGAAAATCTTAGCCACATGTGTAACTTTATGTCTTTCAAGACTACCATCCGTATGAGTTTTTAATTGAAAAAACTATTTACAACCAATGATGTTCATACCTATCACATATACGATAAAGACCATTTATCATTTTTCAATATAACATTGATCTCGACTACTATAACTATTTGTCATTTACAAAATTTAGTTATTTATGAAAAACAAATTATGTCAAAAAGAGATAAAGAAGTCATGATCGTAGTTGCCTTAGAAGGTCTCATCGACTTGAGTTTCTTGGGATGTGTGCGAAGAGGAACAGGTGATAACCTAGTTTGATGGTTGAAAGTGGAACTTGCTGAGATCAACTATAAGATTAAGGACTTGTTTCATATTGGCACTATAAAAAATATATACAAAGTGTTATATGAGATTGGTGGGTTGCAAAATGTGTGTTTGAGTTGGAGTATGAGAAGATGATGGAGAGCTATAGGTAGAAGAGTTTATAGTTTAATGGCGAGACATAATATGAGTAGGGTTCTATAGGATAAATTGGTTATAAGCGGATTGCTTTATTATAGGATATGGAGATATTGGTAAGGAAGGATTGTTTATAGATTTAGTTTGTTGCATGAGTTGGTTAGAAGTAGATTATGTTGTTGTAGGACTAGAAGATGTTGGTAAAGAAAAACTAGATGCGATCCTAGATTGTTGCATATGATATAATGATAAGTTATGAGGCGTACTTTTTATGGATGATGTAGGATAGATTGGGCTTAATGGTTGGTTTGTAAAAGGGCTAGGATTTAAAATTATTATTGGACTAATATAAGGTAAAAACAAAGGTTGTGATCTGCATGCTTGTTTGAGGATAGTTATGTCTAAAAGAATGATTTATACTTCGGCAAAATACATAGGATTCACGAGACTAAGAGAAGAGTGAGTTATTACTAAAAAGCTACCCCATGGTAAGAGTGTATCTATAGACTTAGAAGAAGACAAATGAGAATACACAAAGCTTTTATATAGAAATTCAAACTTAATGAATTTTAACGGTAGGAGTGTGCATTTTATTAATAAGAAACATTGTTGTGTCCAAGGTCAAATGCCAAAATTTAATTGGAATATGTGTTTGCTCAAAAGTGTTAAACTTATTTCGACAATATAATGATAATGTTGTTTGGCTATTCCATTTCACTCATGTTTATGAAAGCATATGATACGATAAGCAATTCTTGTATTTCTTAAAAAAATTATAAAGTCTAAAATTCTTGCTCCAGTTTGAAAACTTTTGATTTTGTAAGCAAATTATCATTCTACCAAAGATTGAAATTGAATAAATGTATTATATACATATAAATTTTTGCAAATAGGATAAAACCAAACAAATTTAGAGTAATCATGAACATAAATAAAATAATAGTTATGATCATCGGTAGAAGAAATTAGAGATGATCTCCATATATCATTAAAAATTAAATCTAAAACATAAGTATTAAAATGATATGTAAAGTTCATAGACAAATGATGTGATTTTCCTAACATACAAACATATCTATTATTAAAGACACTACCATTGCTTGGTAAAAAAATATTTTGAAAAATAAATTACATGACATGACTATACGAGTTAGGCCAACATTGAATGCCAAACCTTAGAGGATGCTTGAATAGAGAAAGCATATGAACCTAAAGAATTTGATAATTCGAACAAAATGTATAAATCATTCTTACTCAATTTGAAAAGAATTAGTTTTTATTATACCTAGTTCTTTAAAGAGAAAAAGAAAAAAGGTAAAATTCTCAAAACAAACTATTATCTTTAGCTAAATATTTAATAGACAATAAAGGTTTAGTGATTTAAGAACCTTGTAATATGTCTAACATATGCAAAACCTTAGTAGGTGTCCGAATGTGAGAAGTACCAATGTGATGTACGAGCAAAAACTTATCATTTTCAGCTTGTAATTGATCCGCACTAGTGTATGGCTTATAATAACTCATACAAGAGATGTCAAGATGGTAATGAGGCTCTTTTGTTAAGATACTAAGGATATTGTTGATGAGGTGAAGTAGAAGAGATCAAAGCATCCATATGTGTTATCAAATTTGTTGATTGGATAAATTGTTGAGAGTGATTCCAAAAGTTGCATAATTAGCATTATAACCTAGAATCAATACCTTTTTTTATTTCATTGCTATTGTTGGTTCTAATTTTTTCATCCTTTAATGTTAGAGGTTCGACCAAAATTCTTAGCATGCCAATGTCCTCGTTGGTTTTTGCTCTTGCCACGATAAAAACGGACACTAAAGGTGGTGCGATGGTTAGAAGTGTGACTACTCTTTATTTTCTAACTAAGATGAGTCATGAGTTATGGAGTGGAAATAAGAGTGGGAGTGAATTCAAGAAAAGTCCTTTTCAAAAAACCCATAGTTGAGTAGTAAACTATGAAGTTCGGTAAAATTTATTGATCAAGGTCTAACATTTAAGGTGTCGATTTAGTCCTTATAGTCTTTAGATATTCTTCTGAATATTTAGAGATTAGAATCAATAGTGGATAATAGTTTTCTAGCGAAAATTAGCTCATTGATATAGGACTTTACTTTTAAGAGCTACTCGAGTTACACTTTTACTACTATTTTATTGAAGATGCTAAAAGGCTAAATAGATGCTTATATTCCTTATGCTAGAGGCGGAGGCACTATCACATTCTTACACAATCTAAAACTTTTATAAGGTATTGTAGTCAATCACTAATAAGAGAACTTTAGTGGATAGAGAAGCAATAAGGGTACTCATTAATAATTACGCTTGTTAAACCCAAAAATGAAATTGTTGTTTTGGTTATGGAAGACCAATATCATCACGAGAGGACACAAGAAGGGAGAGATTGATTAATGATATCAATAAACCCAAACGAGACCTTGCTATATTAAAAAAGTTCTCATTTAGGTACATTATAAAAGGTAATTTGTTATGGTTAATTTAAGTGAGATGAAATGGTGAGAATTTAGTATTTATATGACTGATTGGGAAGAAATAATATTTGGTGAAATGTGATTTTTATTTGAAATAGAAGAAATGGAGATATTAAGGCCATCGATTTAGTTTTGCGGTAAAGGCTCTAATATCAAATTGAGTTTGAATAAATTATGTTCTCATTTACATAAGTTTATAATATTATATTTCTCTAATTTATAATTGTCATATACAATAAGAGTAACAACAAATATAAAGACCTAATCAAGTTACAACACTTAAGGATTAAGTATAATAGATTAACTAAAATTTTATCTCGCTACATTTAAAAGCTAAATTTGTTATTGCTTATCTTACGAATTTCTTTCCTTTGTCTTCTTATTGTTTGGTTTAGGTTGGTTAGGATAATATTACCATAATATCAATCTATAATTTTTTTTTATGTCAAATCTTGCTTGAGAGTGCAATAAAGATTTTTCCATATACAACTCACGGACATTGTTATACTAACTTTAAGAAAAAAAATATTTGTAGAATTAGAGATGAAGTTAGGCTTTTAGGGTGCTTCTAAGTCTTATACAACCTTAATTTTAAAGAACATGTGAAAAAAGATAGGTGAAGGAACTCTAAGGCGAGTTAAATGGTATAAGAAAATCCCAACTGAAAGATGGTCAAGGCATTTTTTTGATTAGGATATCAAGAATGATCATGTTACAAACAACATGGTAAAGTATTTCAACTACTAGGATGGAAAATTTAAAAGCTTGCCAATTCGACTTTGTTGGAGAAAAGTAAGGTCAAGATCATGCCTAGGTTTCTTTATAGATATGTAAAAAAAACAAGTTGGGATACAAAGATAACTCTATATATAAGAAAGATTATTGATTAGGCATTTGACCGGGGAAGAAATTTAAAGATGAAACAACAAGTGTTAATGAATATTGAGTTTGTGAATGGACGAAAAGGTTTTTTGTTAATTTCAAAAAATCAAAGTGTTCATGTACAGAATACACTATAATTAGTATCACTTCTAAGCATGTGGTAACATATTTGACTCATAAACGGAGTAATATAAAAATATTACTATGAGTGGTTTACATTGTTAATACATTCATAAAGAGTTATGAGCATGTAATGCATCTTTTGCTTGAAGCTAAATTTAACCTAAAGAAAAAGAGTAGATAGTATTACCTCCAAATCTTAAGAAAGGTGTTAAGAAACCAAGGAAAAATAAAAGAAGAGAATAAGGAGAAAAGCACTTGGCACGTTAAGGAAATGATTTTCTACCATTAGGTGCAACATATGTAAACGAGTTTAGGCATAACTCAAGAACATATCAAAAGAATATTCTAAGGGTAAGTTAAATAAATATAAATATTGAGTTGTTTTTTAATGTTTTATGTTTTTGTAAAATAAAAATTTTTTTATTGTTTTTTGCTAATTTTGTTTCTATACATATTAGAAAAGGAAAAGGAAAATGTTAGGATGCTATTGAATCAATTAGTAAAGATATATATACCTAATATTGTAAATGATGTTGTTGGTGTTAATGAAGCTAACAATGATCAATTTAGAGGTGTTGGTATTGGTGGTGAAATTGATACAAGTGAAATTGGTAAAAGAAATGGTAAAAAAGGTAGTGGAATTGATGGTGGGAGAGGTGGTGGAATTGATGGTGTCAAAGCAAGTGGAACTAGTGATACGGATGATGTTAGAGGTAGTGACAAAGGTAATGTAAAAGGTGTTGATAGAGCTAATGAGAGAGGTGGTGGAAGAAAAAGTGGCAAAACTAGTGGAAATGATGGTGGCAAACTAGAAGGGGTGAAATTTTTAAAGGTAGTGACATAAGGTATAAAGACATCAATAATGTTGCGTAATTATGCTATTATTTTTGTTTTAATTTTGTATAACGAGAGAAAAACAAAGAGCAAAAGAGGTTCTTCTCAACCTAATGACTAAATAGAGATGGATATTAATGTTTTATCACACTATTGATAGTGCTAACAATGAATTTTTTTAAAAAAATAATTTTAGTGCATAATGGCTACTTTTTTTGCATGCATATTTAACTATTTATTTCTAGAAAATGGTAGTTTATTAGGATTATCTTCATTTTGGGGATATATAGGCTATACCATGGGATATAGAAAGTAGTCAAATAACCAATACTACTTATTTTTTGTTACTTTGGGAATTGTTAGTGTGGCTAAGCACTCGGTGGAGTTAGATTTTAGATAAAGTTATAGTGGTCATATAATACATTACGCTTTAGACATTTAACTACTACAAATTTTCTTTATTACTTTAATTTCTCTTCATAATTATATGCTTTATATGAATATTTGCATGTGTGATAAAAAATCTTGGTATAATGCCATTTCGGATCTTCATTGAATATGATGGCTTTCATATTATATATTCAATTATAACATTAACACAAATAGATGCATCATTATTACATATATAATTTTAGCTACCAAAGAGAAACTTGAAACTTGTAAAGCTAGTTTCCATGAGATGATTCTTCACCTATAGCATCCTCATCTCATCTCTCATTTTATGCACTATATTTATAATTGATTGCATATCAACTTTATGCTCTCCATTGCTTTCATCATATTCATTGATTGGATTACACTAATCAATGGATGTTTTATCATAAGATCTCTCATCACACATGTAAAAAAACTTAGTTTTTGATATCCTAATAGCAACATGTTTTCAACACTTATTGCACTTGATGTTTTTGAACCTTAATTCACCATTATGTTCTTGTTGATTGTTATGGATTGAGGATGAAATGTTAGTGTAGCTTGAAGCGAGACATTGGAAGAAACGGTTGAGAAGGTTAAAAATAGAAGAGAAGTGGATGTGCTATTGTTATTTTGTTGTTGTGTTATGTATTTTGTAACCATTTTCTAACAATCACAAGGGTATTTTCAATTTTTATATAGGCATTTTCCGATGGCTATATTTCAATTTCAAAAGGATAATAGCTTCAAAGATATTTAGGCATTAAGATAAGGCTAATTGGTTTGATAGTGTTCTATGATATACGTCAAATGTTGATTGGTATCCTAATTTTAATTTTTTCAATTCAAACAACATAACTATTTTTTAATTTGTAATCAAATGGGCTTATCCTGTAGACTAAATCTCGAGCCCATTTTTCACGCATAATGTTGATTTGGTCTAATATCTAAATAAAAAACACGTGGGTCTTTTGTCATTGTTGTCTTTATTTTTGACTAATATGATCTTGTTAAATTACAAAATACCCCTATCCTAAAATTAAAACAAAAAAAATTAGAATTTTGAAAAATTCTTAAATTATTTAATGAACCCTCCCTCTCTTTCTTCTTCTCACATTCTTCTATTCCACCATCACGACTACTCGCCTCACTCCTTGTGTAAAAGTAAGAAATTGGAGACTACTAATGTTCTTATCATAAGAAATTCAATAATTTCAAGTCTAAACAAGACATTTAATATGGGTTTTATTAGCCTAGGTGGAAAATAAAATCGATACCATTTTCTATGTTTCAATTCCAGCACCACTAATAATTTGGGTAGCAAATTGGGAGAAACTCATCACTAATCTCACTTTTACAAGGCTAGAAATCACTTGAGAAGGCAAATTAACCATCATTGCATCCTCGAATTCAATAATTTGGCAAAGACAAACATAAAGAAAACAAACCTTCTTGATCTTTTATCAATTAAAGGGTTAATTATTTGGAAAAGTTGTGAATTAGGGTAATGGGTTTTGGTTCTTGTTCTTCGTAAGGCTAAAACATTTGAGATTTACTTCTCACGTTTGTGTGCAAAACAACTTATAAATTTTTAGGTTATTTATGGGTTTATTAAGTGTGGTAGGAAAATTTTGATCGTATGCCTAAAAACTTGATGCCCTTTTTCTAATTCTCTACAACAATCCACCAACTTAGACATTAATAAGCTCTCACCACAAACATGGACTATTTCATGAATTACCCAAAGCATAAAGAGTGTTTTTCGAACCTCTTTCGGGTTGTAACCATAAGATTAGATGGGATGTAGTAATTGTTGATAGAGAGAGGCTTATGTTATAGAGGAGGATGATGGCACTGATAGTGAAGGTGCTGCTTAGACTTAAATAGCCAAAGGAGCGAGCACAGTTGGTGCTTGCGTAGGGGGACAAGGCTTGTATGAAGAAAGTTCCCATTTAAAATGGCCATTACAAATTCTGGACAAGGGCACTCTTTCACTAGCTTCTAAGCAAAAGTCCGTACAATCCTATCATATTTTCCCTCATCAATCAGCTCAACTATCTTGTTATTTTCCTTCGACTCTATCTGCTACTTAGTTTTTTCATAGTTCGACTGGAACTTCGGCTATAATTTTTTTTTCCATTTGTTATCGTGTTTCGCCTAAAGTCGGATGCCAAGATCTTGTTTTCATTTTTTATAATTCATTGATCGATGGGTATTCCGAATTAGAATGTTATAAAAAAGCATTTTGCTGATTAAAGAGTCGAGAGAATTAGGGATGAAAAAAAAAGAATGGAGGAAAAAATTAAGTTTGGTAATTTAATTTAGGTATAAATTTTTTGGTCATTTCATCATGATGTCTTTGTCATGTGTTCCTAAATGCTTGGTTAACGGGATCACTCGACTTGATTACATATCAAAAAATAATTATGGTACTCGAATTGAAAAAATTAAAGTTGGAGTACTTGGTTAATGTTTGACCGATAATACAAAATACTATCGAACTAACTAGTCTTAAAATAATCATCTTACATGCTAAATAACAAATTTGTAATTATTTAACCGTGATCTTTGGATGGAGACCAACATCTCTAAATGGAATCAAATAATAGGTTGTAATGCATCACAAAATATAAAACTTGAAGATATAAATTAAGGGCAATATTAAAAAAATAGAGATGGAAAGTGTTTTTTCCATCAAAATATAGGACGGTTATTGTAGTTTACCCAAAAAATATACACTAACTTATATCATGTATCTCTTAGTATTTAATAAAGAAATATTATATATAATCACAAAAACTAAAAAACACTAACACACTAATTTTTTGTACTTAACTAATAATAACTAATAATAATAATTATTTTTTTATCATATGTTCATATTTATAAAGTAAGGTTAGAGTTTGATTATAACATCATAATATTTAAAAAAATAAGAAAAAGAAATTTCATTTTTATAGAGTAAACTTTAGTTAAAAAAAGGTAAGGTAGGATGTAAGGTTTGAATAATTAGGTTTATTTTATAAGAACTACCATCCCTACCTTGACTTGCTAGAAATTTGAAAAAAAAAAAAAAGGCTTAGTGCAACTTCCATACACTAAATAAGGCTTAAAGCCTAATAGCCAAGAACAAGGCTCTTCGCTAACTCTTATTATCCATTTTACCCCAATATTTAATGACCATAATTTTGGGCTATCAATTAGCTTATTGGCGATTTCATTAGTTTATTGTTTCAAAAACTAATAAATAAAATAAGGGCTAATCATATAAATGTCTCTTTATTATTGACATTTTCTTAATGTGGCTCATATATTTTTTTCCTTATTCAACGCCTTCATGTATTGTTTAATTTTTCTTTATGTAACCTCCTTACTAAAATCGGTGAATCTTTCGGTCGGTGATGACAAATGGAAAAAAATTATCATGTGAATAAAATTTTTTACATGCATAATCCGAAAGAAAAAAAACCAAAGTATAAAAACCTTTTGATTTTTCTCTCTCCTCTCACAATCGATCGATTGAAACAATAGAATTTAAACGAAAAAACCCTAACATCCTCACACATTTACCTTTGATTTTCTATTCATCATCGATTCACAAGCAATCTAACCCAAAAATCTTTGATTGTTCGAGTAGCCTAAATCCTCAATTTATGAAACTCCCCAATTCGGTCGTCCGAATCCCCAATTCAAAACCCTTATTCTTTTCCATTTTTCCTTCATCCTTCTCGTTGATTTGTCTCTTCATCTTCTTAGAATACATTTGTTTATGGGTTAAAATCTAAAAATTTTTATAACGAGAAAAACCCACGATTAGTGAGAACATAAAAAATCCTCAAATGGCTCTATTTATTTCTTGAAAACCCTAAAACTCTAAAATTTTTTTTTTTATTTCATTAACATCCTAAATTAGAAGAGTGCATCATCGACATGTAGAAAAATTTAGGATGAAATCACATAATCCTTTACTCACACCAACTCGTAATCCTCTATTTTCATCAATGAAATTGAGGATGACATATTGCGATTGATTTGTGTAAGCGTACTATAAACTCCTGAATTGAATTATGAAGAGCTTGTAATAATTGCCATTATGAGTTAAAAACTGTAAGATGGATGTCATGGATGACAAGCATCCATGTTCGAGGTTCCATCCATGTCCTATACATTTTTCCCATAATGGTAATAAATTTTAGTTGTGGTTATTAGGTGTAGAATGACAATTTCATAAAAGACGAGTTAGGATGATTATTTTAGGAATGTGAAATAGACAAAGATAGATTTATAAAGAGAAAGATTTGTTGCTGAAAGAAAAAAATGAATTGATTGCAAAGGTTGAAGAATGAGCTAGATTCTCTTTTCATAGAAAATAAAGCTTTGTTGGTTGAGATAGCAACCCAAAAGGTAGATAAATAGCACATGAATTTGAGAATGAAAAAATTAAGTGAATACAATACTATGTTGTTGATTTTTTATAAAATAGTAGTGGTTTTAATTTTAATTCTTTTAGTTGTTTGTAAACTATAATGAAGTAGTTTGTTTATAAATTGTATTGAAGTTATTTTAGTTTTAATTCTGTTGGTTTCAAATTTATTATTTGGATCTTTATTTATTTGATGGTGGCATTATCTGTCATCATTTATTGAATAACCGTTGCAATGCATCTTATCTATTCGGAATCATTATGAGTCATTCTTATCAAGAAAGGCCATGAAGATGATGATAATGGTGGTGTTATGGTAAGTGTAAAAAAAAAAAAAAAATTGAACTTTAGCTTGGCTTCCAATATCGGTAGCTAAAACTTGAAGAGGGCTCTTCAGGAGTCTAGGAAGTGAAGAGACAACTTGTGATTTGATGTTCTATTATTAAAATTTTGAACTCGCTATTTCCATTGCTAATTTCTCTTGTTTCCCAAGTTTTGAATTGACATCAATGATTGCATCAATTTTTGTAACTTTGATATCATACATTTTGTATAGTTTAGGAAATTTGAGGAGATAGGTGAGATAAAATTTTAGTTGCCAATTTCTAAGGTAGTACTAGTAGGAATTGCTTTCGATTAAAGAAAACATGTTTATGGTTAGGCCTCCTTTATAACGGGTTTCCTTTTCCCATTTTTTCTCTCCTACTATTGGACAATCTAACAAATATTTTCTACGTCATCGATTGGTCCTTATAAAATCTTCATTAATAATACAATGAGAACAATTTATTTGATCTTACTTGCATCGTTTTCTTTTTTTCCTTTGTCACTTCAACAACTAATTTTTTTATAAACTTTTTAATCTTGATATAGATAGTGTATCTTTGATTAAACATAAAATATATATTAATCTCAACATGTAAAACTAATTCGAGAACACCGATAACTTTACAAATAAAAGATCAAAGCTTTAAATTATTTACTATTTTTAGCTCGGATTACCATTTATCTAAATTTTTACTTAGTAAGCTAATAATGAGCTTAATTGGGTGTTTTATTTATCCTTAGTTCCATACAAACTTCTCAATCTATAATTAATGGATAGCACATGGAAGTCAATGATACTTTAAACTTGGCAATCATTTGACGAGCACTACATCAATCTTATGCTTGGTTAGGATGACATGAGCTCCGACAATTATAAGTTACCATATCCAATAATAGAAAACAAAATATACTTAATTCGGTAGCAATTGTTCAAATCATATTATATAGTTCATTAAGCGAGTAATTATATGGTTAACTTCAATTCCTAAAACACAATACATAAATTCAAAAGTTGTAGGTGTTTAATTACAAAACATTAATATAATCAATCTACTTCAAAATTTGTTACTCGTAAATTTCACAAGCATTCTAACCATGTAAGTAAAACATATCACCCATGAAGATGAAGAACTCTACTTTCTTGAGTTTCAATTTTACGTTTCTTCTTTCTTCCTTTTATCTTAGAAATTATAGGTGTTTTTAGATCTTTACTTGTGTAGGATCGTAATTAATTTACTAGTTGAGTGTCCGAGTGCAAAAAAAAAAAAAAAAAGGTTATTGAAAATTAACATATAAAAAATTAAACAAGCAATAACGAGTAACACTTACATCTAAAATTTATCATTCCGAGTCAGCAACAAAATAACCTTTTTCCAACCTAAGGTTTCTTAACCTTTTTAGAAGTTGATCCGGTATTGGGAGTTATGTTGCGAGTAGGTACTTTCATAAAAAAAAAGATCTTTTTCCTCTTATAGCAGCGAGATCTAGTAATTGAAGATTTAGTTCTTGACTTAACTTTAGAAATTTTATCAATAAAAGGTATTTTCATCTTCGAAAGCGGATCTAATATTTGGGGATTAGGTTAGTGGCTCAACTTCGGGAACTTCATCAAAACAACAATAAAACTTTTTCCTTTTACGTCAGCAATCTCTCTCGACCGAATAGAAGAATATCTAGTAGTTTGTGTATATTGTACAACATAACATTCGGGTTCTATATTTGCATTTAAAAAGCGAGTATAGTCATAAACAAATTATCATTTTTTTTTCACTTCTAATTTGTGAATCCTAATTTTCCCATTTAGGTTCCGTATTTGTATTTGAAAAACTCTAAAACAAAACAAACAACTTGTTATTATTATCAAGTAGATGATTATATAGATTTAAAAAAAAAAAAAAGGGTTATAGGTATAAATATTTATTTTATAACTTTCGATTGAGATTTTGAAGGTAGGTTTTATTGTTATAACCTTTTTTAAAACACCTCATGTCATCTTTCTTGCTTTTCTAGACATATTAGTATCACCACTCTTTTCCTCCTATTCTTCTCTTCTCATACTCTTTTTCTATCTTACGGGCATCTTAACAATAGTTGAAGGGTAAACAGGTGGTAAACTAGTTCTTGGCTAAAACTTCTCTCCAATGACAGGTTTAATGAAATACTTATAAGACTTTATAAACCTAACTTTTGAATACCACTCATGAACATAGTTTTCAATTCTCCATATTTTCAATTTAATTATAACAAATGCATGCTCACAAAGGATACCCGAGATATCCCACCTCCTACAAGCGTACCTCTTCTACTCTATGTTAATAATAAAATTATCACCTTTATATGTCCAACTTACCATTCTAGAACACCTTAAAATCATCACTTATTTCTTATTTTTCTGAATCATTGCCCAAATTTAAGTCCAAATGGACCCTTAAATTTTTTTCAACACTCTCCTTGAAATTATCCTACCCACAATATAAATCTTAATTTCCTCTAGCATACTCATAATGCTTTTAAACTTAGCTTCAATGATAATTCTATTAAAGGTCTCACGCATGTTATTATCTACCAAATCACACTTGATTTTAGGTCTAAAATAAGCCTCACACCACTAATCAAGTAGGATCTTTTTAAAATCTGCCTTTACATCAAGTCTTATCCCCTTCAATAGTTTCTTGTCTTCTTCTAAGTCTTGGGGTGCGATGTCTTTATAGTATTTTCAAAACAACCTAAGAAATTCTTCACCTTTATACATTTTCCTCCAATTAGAAAACATGTGCCTAGCACATCTTTTATGTTCTGCAATAGGCATTAACTCGATTACAACACTTAATAGGCCCCGTATCAAAATTTTTTATAACAATCAAATTTAGTTTAATAAAAAAAAATTTTGAAACTAAAACTAACCTCTAAACTTTATTTAACCGTTACATGAAAGAAAAAATTAAAATAATGCATCACCTTATGAGAATTTAAGATGAAAGTCCATCTACGTCTAAGATCCATTGGAATTTTCAAATTAGCCAAAATTTAAAGCAAGAACCGCTTCCACATTTCCTTTATTTCCTTCGTTACAACCGCCCAATAAAGAGAAAAAATTTGGTTATTTGCATCCCTACCTATAACCACTAGAAGTTCTCTCTTAAGATGTCCTTCGAGGAAGCAACCATTTAAAATTATAATCCTCTTACAGACTCTCCAAAAAATCATCCCTCAACGCTTTAAAACCCACATACATTCTCTAAAACTTTCTGGATTCCTCCTCATATTGTAGGATAACACTACTACCTTCATTATCGGCCCTTAATTTTGCAACATAATCTTCAAGTTTATCAAATTCAAGCTTCACATTACCTTCGATCTCTACTTTACACCACTTTTTTGTATCTTGGAGCAAGCGTGAAGGAGATCTCCAAACCATAATCCTTCTTATCTACCTCAATAATTTCCTTCAATGTCATTTTCAAGCAAAATTTACCAAATTTATGAATTAAATGCTCACCTAAAACTTTATAACTCAAATGACTATTCTTGTAAATAATATCGTAACTATACTCCGTCACACATGTCCGCACCATCTAGTTTTTAGGTTTTTCCATATGGAGAACACATAATTTTAAATGCACATTCCTTATCTTTGCACACTACTTTAACCATTTTCCTATTATTCTTCTTAACCTTTACATCCCTCCTATGCTTTAAAGCATGTTTAGTCACTACATCGGTAAATTAATCTTAGTAACAAAAATCACTGCAACTTGAAAATGTGGGTCATTTGTGTTGGGGTCGAAAAACATCTTGGATTTCCTTCTTCTCCCATACTTCTCATTATCCTCATCACTACAATCTATACTAACTCTTGCATCCGAGTCATATTCATGTTCCGTTTCTATTGTTTCAATCTTCTTTATATGGACATTCAAAAATTCATCATCATAATTATTTTCAGCCTCATTTCCCTTTATATTTTCATCCTTACCCAAGTTTCCCTCCAAAATTTGACCCTCAATTCCCTTTAAATTTTCACCCTTAGTTCCTTCCAAATTTAAACCACTCTTTCTCTCATGTGCTTTTCTAACTCGATTTCTTGCTTCTTGTAACTCCTTATCTCCATCATCATATAACCATTGATAATAAAAAACTTCATCATCATAATTTCTAGCACATTCACTCTTGGATGTATTAGACTTTTTCCTACTAACGTCATCACTAACGAGCACCATCATCACCCAAATTATCTTCTCCTAGTAAAATATCAACTAAATCATCCCTACCTATTTCTTTACTTTTAATAAACCTAACATTAGTTAAATTTTTAACTATATCTTCTTCTCTATTTACTATTCTATCATTATTTAATTCATGGTCATGTTCCTCTTTCCTATCCTCAAAACCAACCTAAGACCATGATCGGTAATCCCTAGCCTTTCACACATTTTAGATAGACTATCCTCGCCGAGTAATGGATGGTCTTTACCTCCATGTTCATAATAAATGTCAACCTTTTCAATTTTTTCTATCAAGTTTAACAACCTTATCGGACTTCGTCATCATGCATTAACTTAAGAAACAAAGATTAAGATTGTGATATGGCAAAAGGATCGTTGTAATAAACAAACACAATATCCTTTCTATCAAATTCCTCCGTTAATTTTAAGAGGGTCCTAAAGCACAATAACTCTAAGTTAATATTTTTCTTTTCAAACACGGACCCACCAATGTATTCAACCTATAAACTCATTGGACCTATTAATATTTTCACACATCTACCCAAGTAAAAAGCAAATGTCTTTATTTGTCAAACACAACTAATAAAGAAAAACATTAACCTCATTCAACTCATGAGACAAGTTAGGGTCCCAAAATAATATACCTTGATTAAGGATAAATTTTTTTTACCTTGTTGACAAACCAACGACAAAGGATCCACACATGAGACAGTGAGGCTCCCAAAACAAAATCCCTTTTCCGTATTATTGTATACTTTATCGCATTATTAAGTTGTCCTTATAACAATAAAGACCACTACTCGATCAACAAAATAACACAACTATAATAAATTGACAATGAAGGACCAAACTTATCTTTTTGGCCATATATTCTTGTTCTTTAATGCTGCCGACTTTATCGTGATACAACGTAATAGAAACAAAGAATGAGTTGAAACTGGTTAGGGAACAACAAAGACAAATCTTCAACTAACAACAAATACTTGACGTTAAAAAGCTGAATGGGGTATTTAGGGTTTCAAATTAGGAATGTTCATCAATTGGGAATTCGAGCTACCGATTTGGAGATTTTTATAAATTGAAAATTCAATCTACTAAATAATCAAAGATGTTTGGATTAAATTGCTTATGAATCGATGGTGAACAAAAAATCAAAGGAAAATATGTGAAGATGTTAGGATTTTTTCTTCTAGATTCTATTGTTTCGATCAATCGATTGCGAGAGGAGATAAAAAATCAAAAGGTTATTATACTTTCTTTTCTTTTAAATTATGCATGTAACAATTTTGGGCCTCGTGACATTTTATCCGATATATCATGCCACTTTACAATTTTTTTGTCATCTATCATCACTAACCAAAAGATTCACTAAATAAGAGGATCCATATTAAGAAAAATTGAAGAACATAGGAAAGAGTTGAATAAGAAAAATAGTACAAGGGCTACATTAAGAAAATATCAAGAATGGTAGGACATTTTATGTGATTAGACCACAAAATAACAATAATTTTACAGAAACAATTAGTTCAAGGAACTGATCTTCAACTAGTCCAATCTAAACCTGTTACAAGGAATGATGTTTATTTGTAACTCTTAGTAAAGTGGTACAATTAGGCAAACATATTCTAGTCAAGACATAAATTGAATTATACAAAACCCACCAAAGAGTGTTTGCATGCTGTAGTGCTACAACCTTGGGAAAGTTTTCCAATGCAGGCCAGCAAGCCACCAAGAACAGCATCTACTAACAATCATTAAATTCTGGACCAACCATGCACTTCCTTAGAACCAGGAATCCAGAGATACTCTTAAACCTTTCCTTCCCTTCAGTGGTTTCTACAAGTTACCTGTATGTAAAAGTTTTTCAACCAGCCTTGTTGATCAGCCAGTAAATGATTGAAGCCTTCCAGCTTTAATAAGTTTCCTATGTAGTACTCCACCTGCCAAATAAACCTCCCAGACAATAAATTTTCTCGAGTTTACTGCAATTAGCTGGTTCTAACGAGCTTTGGATTCCACATCCGAACAAGCCAACCGTTTTCCACAGTTTTGAGATCTTCATTTGTCCTTTTATTTTTTGCTCTCGTGTCACGAGAAATTCTTATTTGTGCTAAATTATTGGAGGACTGCCGAGGGCTTTCTGTTTCTGTAGAGGCATTTACAATCTGATTCATCATTTCCAACACCTCACTCATCTTTGGACGTGACTTTGGATTTCTAACTAAGCATCGGTTGGCTACGTTTGCAAGCTTGTGGGCTGACTTGAGGATGTCTTTCTGATCAAGCCTGGGATCCACTATTTGCTTGAATTTCTTTGCGTCTGTTAAATATGGCCTTATCCATTCCAAGAGCTTCTGCTCACTCTTGGGTCGGTTTCGATCCAAAGGGCGCCTTCCTGTAATAAGTTCATAAAGGAATACCCCATAGCTCCAGACATCATTTTTGGATGTGAGACGTCCAGTTTGGATATATTCGGGAGCTGCATATCCCATGGTTCCTACAACCTGATGGAAATAAAAAATTGCAATTATTGCATGAATATAAATAGTTTAGATAAAAAGAAAAATGAAATTCTTAGTATAATGTTAGTGCACCAACCAACGGGCAACCATTTAAGTCTAAACTGTGCTCTAACAGATATTAAAAAAAAAAAAAAAGAGAGGAAAGAAAAGCATACATAAAAAATCCCATTCTGTTTCTCAAGTTCTTTAAAATGAACCTTTTTTTTTCTTTCATGTCTGTGGAAACGTTATGCATTTCATAGGTCTCGACCTTTATTGTCCATGTTCCTTTGAGGCAAACCCAGACTCCCTAGGAAACACTAGCAAACAGCACTAAAAGCATTATTAATCACAAGAAATGATAAAAAGAACAAACATGCTCAAGCAAATCTGATGAGTTCAATTAAACAAGCAAACAACAAAATGATACACCCAAATAAACATTTTCTCAATAGGTTTTCCATTATCTTTGGAATAACTAAGTTTAACATGTTTTATTCTGCTCAATGAGCTTATCAAGTACACTGGAAGTTGTAAAACAGTTCTAGGCTTGGGTCCCAAAGCTTGCGAGTAAGCTGATTCCCACCTACATGAGCCTTTTGAGCTGCAAAATGTCTAGAGTGCAAGGTGCTCAAACCCATGCAATCACTTTACTCCAGTCATCCACATAATATGGTGAGATCGTAAAAACTATATAACCACCAAACCGCTCAAATAAGAGATAACGAAAACTGTATGATTTTGAACTGTCTTGTTGATGGAGGTTTCAAAGGGATAGTTGAGCGATCAAAAGCAGATCCAGATAAAAATTGATTACTTAAGAAGTATACATAACTCTATAAGCAACATAATTCAAGATCCTATTCTGATAATTAGCTCAGTAGCATTGAAATTTAGGAGATCTAGAGAGTAAATCCCATCCAGATATTGAATAAATGTTCATTTCTAACATGCTAAAGTGAAGCACCCATTGGAGAGATATATACCAAGTATTAATTAGATCATACTGCATGAACATACCGCAGTTGAAACATGAGTCAATCCTTCAGAAGGTCCTAGCCTCGCCAACCCAAAATCTGATAGCTTGGCGTTCCACTGCTCATCTAAAAGAATGTTTGAAGATTTGAAATCCCTGAAGATGATCTATGACGATCATTAAAACACGAAAAGAAAAGAAAACTTGTCAGCATTATCAATTATGCTTGATAGCTTACCCACACATAGGGACAGATTACCACAAACTTTTATTAATTGTTCACAAATGACTTTATGTAGCAATCCCTCTCACCCGCAAACACTTTAGGCCTTTTTTTTATCCTTTATGGGAAATAACAAACTACAAGAACAATGCTGGGGAGACGGGAATTGAAATGCAACCTTGAGAGAAATGAATGCATTTGCAAGGGGTGCTGCCAAATCTTAGGTATACTGAAGTGAAAATTCAGAAAACCATACCTGAAAATCCATTTCTTCATGAAGGTACTTTAAGCCATGAGCAGCATCTTGGGCTATTCTCAATCTCATGGCCCACGGAAGAGGTGTATCTGATCGGATGGATAAATGGTCCTCCACACTTCCCTTAGGCATAAATTCATATATCAGAAGCCGTTGCATTCCTCTTTCATCTTCATCCGCACAGTAACCAACTAATTTGACAAGGTTTGGATGCTCAACTACTCCAAGAACATTTACTTCTGTGATCCATTCTTTGTGCCCCTGCCAACCAAATGGTGTGATCTAAGATTAAGGCAGCTCAAAACAGAAAGATAAATGCAAGACTGCCATCGGGTTAAAAAAAAAAAAAGGCATCTTTCTGACAACTGCAGGCAAATCTCGCAATGTATGTGTTTTGGCAATGGAGATACCTTTGAAAGTATAGCAAAACAAGTATTTTCTACAATGCTATCAATGACATTAAAAACTAAAAGTTGACGCAAGGAATAAAACTTGCCTGCATCCCTCTTTTACCCAGCAGTTTCACTGCAATTTCAAGCTTTGTAGTTGGATCCTCAGTGCTCTTGATAGATCCTTTATAAACGCAACCAAATCCACCTTCTCCAACCATGACAGAACGGCTAAAATTCTTGGTAGCTGACTTAAGCTCAGAAACTGTGAACACTCTGAGATTACTGGGTCTTTGAGACATGCTGGGATATAAGGGCCTGCCTATGGACTCTGTGCTGATGCCAGAGGCATTTTGAGAATTTAATTCAGAACCGGATCTTCCTATTTCATGATCAGTACTTGAAGAATTCACAGATTGAACCAGGACTGACTTTGGAGTCTTTGGTTCACCCTTCTTGTCTCCAATGTGGAATGAAAAGCACTTCATAGCCCCGAAGAAATTCACAAAGATAAATTTGGCTATCATGGGTTCAGAAGCAAAGAAAGAAAGCCCGATAAAATGCAGCAATCTAAAACTTCAAAAACAATGGTATGAATTAGCAATTTGTCCTCAAAATAAAATGGGAAAATGTAAGAAAGTATAAAAACAAAAGTTTCACAGAATATGATGTTCATTCCAGTAGAGAATAGAAACATAGTGGATCAGATCATTAGCAAAAGTTGAAACTCAAAATTCACTCTCTGTATATTTTTGTAAGGTTAAATTTAAGAACCAACCAGTCACACCTGTAAGTAAGATTTGTGCAAAAAATGTTGTTGAACATAAAATTTACCAAAAAACAAACCGAAAAAGAAAAAGACAGGACAGTGCTTGCTGTTCAATTTTATTTTACCAGACTTTTCCCAAGTTCATGCAACTTAAGTAAAATATAAAACGATAGTAATCTATATGAAATTAAAAGGCATAAAAAGGCATCATTAACTACTGGCTCAGTACTATCTGCTTTCTTCTGATCACGTCTGTCAAGATGTTTACTTTTCTCAATCATCGAATTCCCAGGTTATTTTTTAAATGAATTCAAAATCAAGAAATCCAAATTAATACCGATACAACCTATCGACACACAAAATCTCTCTCTCTAGCATAACAGTAAAAGCAAGGCCATCCAAATTTGCAGTAAAATAAAGGTAAAAAAATAAAAAAAAGTTGTTGTGAAGCTGGCAAAACTCACCTGCAAATCCTCCTAGATGGATCTCACCTCAATTCCCAAACAATGAGTAATCTGAGAAGAGACCCTGTACTCAATATGTCCCAAAAAGACCTCAAGAAAGTAATGAAAAGTCTATATGTCTACACGCGGCATCTTGGTGTGGAAGTCAGCTTCCAACCAAAATAAACGGAACCCACGTCATTGTAAAATAATATTTAATTAGATATGAAGACAACCTTGAAAATCCAATTCTTGCTGCATGCGTGTGTGAATAGGTTATAAAACATGTGTGAAATGTTAGAGAGACAAGAGAGTCTTGAAGTTTTTGTGGGGCATAGGAATGAGTCATCTTAGTCAAGCTGTCTTTGGATGGAATTGAACTGATCTTGGAATTGGAAGTTGGAACCCCATTTGACGAGCTTATCCGACTCTTTCATTCCACATTGCACATTAGATTATGGAGTAACTAATAATAAATAATAAACAAGAAGAATTTGTGGGTTTCTCGTTGCATTAAGCACTGTCCAACAACAATTCTCTGGCAGTGACAAGCTCCCGAGGGTTATGTTATTATAATACCGGCATGGTTAAATGCTAATGTCAATTTAACTATTAATTTTAAATTTAATAAATCCTTTTTATTTTAATTTTTATATTCAAATCTAATAATTTAACTAATCTGGACGTTTTATTATCAGCATTAATTTAGACTCATCCTGTATTTTACAACATTTAGCTAGCTAGACTTTAGTAGTCTGTAAACACCAAAGACATGTTAGTGAATGAGGTATTTTAAGTAAGTTCGATGCCTCTGGTTGTATATAAAACAGCCAGTTTGATGTAAACTATGTAAAATATTTATATTACAGAGCTTTTTCTTTTCCTTTCCTCGGTAGAAAAATGGTCCAACTTTAACCTTAAAAATGTATATACTTGAAAAGGTAGGCACCAAAAAAATAAAATATATATGGACATTGTTCGGTGCTCAACATATTCTCCTGCCATCACTTTTTTAGGCACTCATTTCTCCCCGCCATTTCTTGATCCCAAAAAGCAAGGACTCCCTTCCAAATTCCAAACCCAGTCAACTCACTCATTTGCTTTTGATCCAAAATCTTTTCTCTCTTCAATGCTGCAGCCATCAACCTACATTGTTTTCTAACATTCCACTCTCATTCTCAAGCACCCATTACTCTCTTTTTATTGATAGCATTGTTAATTTTCTTCAATTCTTGCCGTATATTCTTGTTCTACAAAGATTCAAAATTTGCCAGTTTAAAGGATGCCATGGTTTATCCCCACTGGAGTAGTCCAAATCTGAGTACACATTGTTATTCAAAGAAATTAGCATGTGGGTTCTTAGTGATTAGTCATTGGATGGTCATTCCAAAATTTGTAATTTGGGGACCTACAAATACTTGTGGAAATGAGTGCAGTGAAGATTAGTAGTATTTGTTGGGTGCCACATTTTCTTTTGTTTCTTGTTGTTGTTTTAAATTTATTGCCAAATGCATTTTGTGTTGACGGGGATGATTATAGTCAAACAGGCAACCCAGCATTCCTTCCTATTATTACTGATATGATCTATAGAAGGCTTTCGAATCTCTCTGTAGTGTTCAGCGATGATATAAAGGATACTCTGAGCTTTTGCATCAAGAATGTGTGAGTAGTGTGTTTCTTTGTATACCTAGCCATGGTTTCCTGTAATTTATTTCTTTTTATTTAACAGTGAATTCTTTGGCTTTTAGGAATGCTGATTGGACAGGAGCGTTCAATTTTGAAGGAGATTTGGATTTCATAACTAATTGTATCAAGAAGACTAAAGGTATGGCAATTCAGACAATTCGTTTCTGTGATGATGCTTTCTATATGGATAAATAATGCAACAATGACAAATAAAGTTTTACAGTTTTGATATGTTCAAAGATTCATTCCATCATTATTTTAAGAAGGGAGGAGCGGAAACACTGTTTTGGTCTGTTTGAAGGAGTGAAAAATGCAAATGACAAATGATCAGATTCTTATAAGAAATCGAATGAAGGTTTTGTCCGAAAATGAATGTCATATCCTCCAGAAATGACCAACTTGTCATTCAGAGAAACTACGCAATGCCACATATGACAAGGAGATGCTTGGAATTCGGATGGTTTGCAAATTTATGGTGGACAACAGGATGCTAATCAAAGTCCACTGGAACAAACATTTCAAGTTTATTTTGTTGGGGGTTCCTTCGCTGTGCTAACAAATTTTTTATGTTTGTATTTGTTTACCTAGTTTCTTATGATGGCTGTGATTCCTGAACAGGAGATGTCACTCAGAGACTTTGTACAGCAGCAGAAATCAAATTCTACTTCAGTGGTCTCTTTGGGAAGGGGACAACAGGCCAGACTCATTACTTAAAACCAAATAAGAACTGCAATTTGACCTCTTGGACTAATGGTTGTGAACCAGGATGGGGTTGCTCTACTAATCCAAATCAGAAAGTCGATCTCAGTAATTTGAAGGACATGCCTTTAAGGACTCATGACTGTCAACCGTGTTGTGAGGGATTTTTCTGCCCCCAAGGTCTTACCTGCATGATACGTAAGTATAGTTGCCACTGATGTTTTTGCAATGTACAATGATACATGTCCATGATCTTCATTGTTTTTGTGGTCCTGCAAATGCAGCCTGCCCATTAGGTTCTTATTGTCCATCTGCAAAGCTTAATAAAACTACCGGAATGTGTACCCCGTAAGTTCATATTTTAGTCTTTGAATTCTTTTTGTCGTCCTCTTCCAAACCTTTTGTGGTTTGTCATAGAGGTTAGTTTTTATTGGTAGAGAAAATTTTGCAGATATGGTTACCAAATACCTCCTGGGCAACCAAATCATACTTGTGGTGGTGCAGATGCATGGGCTCCTGTTGTGACGAGTAGTGAAATTTTCTGTGCACCAGGATCATACTGCCCAAGAACCACACTTAAAGTTCCTTGCAGTAGTGGGTATTGTTTTCTTCATCCCAAAACTCATCTATTCAATCGCTTGCAACATGAATCTGTTGCTAGATAATATTAAGCTTGAATTTGATTTGATGGTGCACCATTGTGGCACTTACCATCACCAACTAATCTTTTGTTTTCATGAAAACAGACATTACTGCAGGATGGGTTCCACTTCTCAATTATGTAAGTTCTTGGTTATTTTTGGTAATATGGAAAATTGCGATGTTTTAGAATTCATGGCAGAAGAAAAAGGATTTCTTGCTTTTTCAAGTCTTCCTAGTAGTCTGGAAATCATCATGTTCGGAAGAACAATGACATCTGTGAGTCAAATGTCAGTAAGAGGAAGCAGGCAGAAACACAAAACTAGATTATATGTTCTAAATACTTCTAATTTAGTATATTTATCAATTTTGAATGCAACAAAAACTACAGGGTTGTAATTATCTTCTTACCACAAAATTTTCTGATAGGTGGATGCTTAAGTAAGAAACAGGAAACATTTTGCATCGCCGTAGTCAGTTGATATATCACTCTAAGACAGTGTGAAGCACCACACCTTGTATCAGCAACTGCTTGCAGTTGCTTTTTATCATCCTCTAGCACTCATTGTTTGTTATTTGTTTTTGCTACACTGCATGTCTCAGAAAATTTACTCATTTATTTTCACTTTGCACGGTAAGGGATGAATATTTGACTATGGGATTTTTATGTACCATTTTGCAGCGTGCTTCAAGTTAGTCACATGCCATCCTAACACTGCAAATCAAAATCTTCATGCGTATGGGATCATGCTCATTGTAAGTCATCGTCATTTAGTTCTAGAACATAAATTGATTGCAGCGTAAACATTTTGTAAATTATGGCTTGGAACATATATTTGCTTTCGATACCATGTCAGTCAGAATTGACTTTGGGGGACTTTTCATTGATGTTTTTTAACTTCTACTGATGAATCTTGAAAAATCTTTACTACATATAAATAGATAAATAAAGTCCTCCATAAAAATTTTTTTAGTGCAATTTTTCTTGATGAGAATCAATAAGCTTAGATTAAAAACCAGCAATAAAGTGACAGGAAAAAAATTACAAACAAAGATGCAAAGATTAAAACCAGGCTAGAAATTCCTCTTGTATGCTAATACTATGCTTAGGTAGGCTATCAGCTACAACGTTCCTTGCTGCATTCACTCTAGCAAAAAAAAAAAAAAAAAAATTCAGCTTACTTACAGAGGAAAAATACTATTGAGTGCAATTTAACATTCCCTTTCAAAATTCTTGCTGATTGTTCCTTGTGTTATTAACTGGATCCGCCAATATTTGACATTGTTCACTTGCCCATGCAGGTTGCAGTGACTACTCTTCTTCTCATTATTGTTAACTGCTCTGATCAAGCTCTCTCTACACGAGAAAAAAAGCAGCTAAATCCAGAGAAGCCGCTGCAAGGCAAGCACGAGAAACTGCACAAGCACGTGAAAGGTGGAAAGTTGCAAAAAATGTTGCCAAGAAAGGGGCTGGGTTGCAAGCACAGATGTCCCAGACATTTTCTCGCAGAATATCTGGATTTAAAGCAGATCAACCGAAGGTTTCAGGTGCAGGTAAGTCTCAAACCGAGGCTGCTTCGTTACCTCCTATGCCTTCAGGTACTTCAAGTGCATCATCTGATAAAGCAAAGAAAAAAGAACAAAGCAGCCTGACAAAAATGATGCGTGCTCTTGAAGATGATCCCAATAGTCAGGAAGGATTTAATTTGGAGATTGGAGACAAGAATATAAAAAAACAAATGCCAAAGGGTAAACAATTGCATTCTCACAGCCAAATGTTTAAGTACGCATATGGCCAGATTGAGAAGGAAAAAGCCATGCAGCAGCACCAAAATAACCTAACTTTCTCTGGAGTAATTTCAATGGCTACTGATACTGATGTCAAGACTAGGCCGGTGATTGAGGTTGCATTTAAGGATTTAACCCTCACTTTGAAAGGAAAAAAGAAACATCTGATGAGGTGTGTGACTGGGAAAATCATGCCTGGCAGAGTTTCTGCTGTCATGGGACCGTCAGGAGCTGGCAAGACCACTTTTCTTTCTGCTTTGGCGGGAAAAGCAACTGGATGCACTATGACAGGTTCAATTCTCATAAATGGAAAGAATGAACCAATCCATTCATATAGGAAAATTATTGGTTTCGTCCCACAAGATGACATTGTGCACGGGAACCTGACAGTGGAGGAAAATCTGCGATTCAGTGCAAGGTGCCGGTAAGGAACATCTAACAGTTTTTTCTAATGTATTCATTATTACTCATGTATAATCTCTCATTTGGTTTCTTAACTGCAAGTGATTATTGTCTCTATGAGGAGAAATATAAAGAGGGCAGTAGCAAATTTAAGCAAAATCACATTGCTCATGGTTTCATAACATTAGCTCAACTCAACAATTACATCCACAATTTTTGGATCTGGAGAATAATGCAAGTTTCTTTTCCCACATAAAAAGATGTAACTTTAGCTTGATCCAGTTTTATCTGTTGTTTTTGGTTAATGTTTTTCCTCTCATATATGGCTTAATCAACACAAAAAAACTCTTGAAATTATGCTTGATTTTGATAGCCAGTCTTCCAGACAATTAACTTGGCATCTTAAACTTCTGTTAACTTTTCAACTTTCTCACAGAACTTCTTCCCTTCAACTGCTATTATTCATGTGGCATCTTCCTTTTACATTTTCTTTAATTTCTACTGATTGGTATCTCGTGTTTTCTGCTAACGTACTCTGATTTCCTTTTTTAACTGTCTTGTTGGGCTTCTTCTTACTGGAGGTTATCTGCCGACATGCCAAAAGCTGATAAGGTTCTGGTTATTGAAAGAGTTATTGAGGCCTTGGGACTGCAGACAGTGAGGGATTCTTTGGTTGGGACAGTGGAGAAACGAGGAATTTCTGGAGGCCAGAGGAAACGTGTAAATGTTGGGCTTGAAATGGTCATGGAACCTTCACTATTGATTTTAGATGAGCCTACATCTGGTCTGGACAGTTCATCGTCATTGTTACTTATAAGAGCTCTACGACGTGAAGCACTTGAAGGGGTAAACATCTGCATGGTAGTACATCAACCAAGGTACGGTGCTTCTATCTCTCTCTGTGAATCCAAAATGCCATAGACATATTTGCTTCTTCTGTAAAATATCAAATGCTTGAGAAATGTATCTGCTTCTCTAATCAGTGCAATTTGAGCTACAAAGAAGAAGGAAAACACAAGGATAGAGTTAAAACATGATTCAAAAATTAATACATCACTTAACTTTTGTTATTAATTATTGTCTGCTTACCATGGAGAGTATCATATAAACCAGCCAAAATAATTGAAAAGCGTAACTGATATAAACTCCCCCTTGTTGCAGATGTTTATTCTTCGTAGTTTGTACCTAGCCTGTCAGATTATTGAACTTCCACTACTCTTAAATGTACCACATATATAGTGGTCTCAAATCATATATAAAGTGGGGAGTAAAATCGAAGTTCTTATCTTAGTGTAAAGCCTTTGCAATCTTCATGAGGGAAAAAAAAAGAAGGTTTTTTAGACAAGATACTACCATTTGAGATCCCAATGCAGCCCTTTCACTTTTCTGACCCTGATTTGAATCCTCAATAAATTTTAGAGGTGACGCAGAAGGTGAAAATGAAGAGTGAGACAGAGAAGGGATCATCTGAATACTTATTTATCAAGCTATCTTTCAATTCTGACCTTTTACGCAAGCCATGACCATGATTTATTCATCATAAAAAAGGATCCAGAAATTTTTGGGATTTAACGGTTAGATTCTTTTGATTCAGCTATGCCCTATTCAAGATGTTTGATGATTTAATACTTCTCGCGAAAGGTGGCCTCACTGTATATCATGGATCTGCAAAGAAAGTTGAAGAATACTTTGCTGGCCTTGGGATCACTGTACCAGAGCGTGTTACTCCTCCAGATCACTACATTGACATTCTGGAGGGTATAGTGAAAACAAGCTCAAATGTGACTCATGAACAACTACCTATCAGATGGATGCTGCATAACGGGTATCCAATACCCCGAGACATGTTGCACTATGCTGATAGTATCGGTGCAACCTCAACTGGCTTAAACCCGAGTGCTGCAGAGTCCACAGAACAATCTTTTGCTGGGGATCTATGGGCAGATGTTATTTCTAATGTTGAGCTTCAACGAGATCATATAGAACACAACTTTTTGAAGTCTAAAGATTTATCCAACCGAAGAACTCCTGGAGTTTCCCGTCAGTATAGATATTTCATTGGAAGGTATGGAATCGATTATCCTTTTCTATGCAATAAGCATTTGTGAGAAAAGGTTGTCTACTTCTAAGGCATTTGATGAAGCCAACTCATATCCTTTATACTATTTCATGACCAATTTGGCTAAACTAGCTTTGTTAGTGTGTTGAAAACGGTAATTTATATGTTGGCTAGAGCTCAACCATCCCAGGCTTACAAATTAAAAAGCAACTTTGCTTTGGAAAATGCAGTTTTATGATAGTTCATTTTGTTGGTCATTTCTGAAACCCCTAAAACCAAAATGTGTATATTTAATTAGTAAATTATGATGTGATAAACCATTGAATATTTGCTATTTTTTATTAAATGCAACAAGAAAATTTTTGTTTTGTAGGATTTATAGGTATTTATCAATTAAGCTTAGTAAAGGCAAGATACCCCGTTGGCTAAACTGTTATCTTGCGGTCCAAAATTTATCAATTATTTGGAAGAACATTGTCCATGGCTGTGCAATTCCATGACCTATGAAGTCTTCTACTCAATCAATTTATTGTGCATATTGATTCTTTTCAGGGTTTGCAAGCAACGACTACGAGAAGCTAGATTACAAGCAGTTGACTATTTGATTCTATTACTTGCCGGAGCCTGCTTAGGAACTCTTGCTAAAGTGGACGATGAAACTTTTGGGTCCCTTGGCTATACTTACACTGTCATTGCTGTTTGTAAGTTGACAAACACAAACTTGTTAACTAGGCCATATTAGTAATGGATTTGGCATGCTTTTGTCCAAGAAGAAGGAGATAGAAATTTTTGTTTTGCATCTTCCAGACCACTATAATTTCTCTTTGATTTCAATCATTTATGAAAAGGTTTTTCTTCTCTCTTATGATGTATAGGATCCTTTCAAACAACTAATAATAAAATAAAGATAATACAAGATCTTACGTGCATATTTCTTTTAATTAAATAAATATGTTTGTGCTGTGTTCTTTCTTTCTCATTCATACGATCTTCAATTCTGATTGCAGCGCTACTATGCAAGATTGCAGCATTACGATCATTTACACAGGATAAATTACATTACTGGAGAGAGAGTGAAGCTGGAATCAGCAGTCTAGCTTATTTTCTATCAAAAGATACAGCTGATCATTTCAACACCATTGTCAAGCCTCTAGTTTATTTATCCATGTTTTATTTCTTCAACAGTCCTAGATCAACATTTGCAGACAATTATGTAGTTCTTCTTTGCCTAGTGTACTGCGTGACTGGCATAGCTTACATATTTGCAATCTACTTTGCACCAGGTCCTGCCCAATTGGTACGTGCTAGAAGATTCTACTGATCGTCTCATAGTACATTTCCATATATGCAGTAATTTCTTCATTTCCTAGCTGATATGCTTGCTTTTTTTGTTTTCACTTCCTGCAGTGGTCAGTGCTTCTTCCTGTTGTCCTGACTCTTGTTGCAAATCAGGGGCAAGATAGTGGACTGGTGAAGCGTTTGGGATACCTGTGCTACCCAAGGTGGGCTATGGAAGCTTTTGTCATTGCAAATGCTGAAAGGTTTGTCGTTGTGTCAGTAATTTAGTTTCTCTAGCTGATTCGAACTACCCAACCTCATCTGACATTTTCTCTTACATTATTATGTATTCTAGATACTCCGGTGTCTGGTTGATAACTCGCTGCAACTCGCTACTGGAAAATGATTACGATCTTGGTCATTGGGGTCTTTGTGTAGAACTTCTCATTCTTACAGGCATACTCAGCCGTTTTGTAGCCTTTTTCTTGTTGGTGACCTTCCAAAAGAAGTGAGTTGGGAAATTTCTTGTCCATGTTTTTAGTGTACAAATCAGAGTTCAGTTTTGACACCCTTGTAGTTCATACATATCCTCAAAGTGAATACAGCATATATATATATAAACACATTAATTAAATTAGTCTTGTAGATCAGCTGTAATGATCTCCAACATAGGTTCTGCAATCATGTTGTATTTTATTTTTAGAGAAGTAGAGAGATGATACTTTTTTTCATTTTGTACGGTGCAAAAAAAATAAAAAATAAAAAATTACTCCTTCAATTTCCTTCTTTTATTTTGCTCTCTCTATTTCTTATTAATTAATATTTTTGGTTTAGATTAATTTGCTTTGGCATTGTTCGAATAACTGGCTGATGCTCCACTAATCAGAAGCGCCGTAAGCTTGGACAAATAAGTTGTCAGAAAAAAAAAAAAAAAGGGTTTGGCAAATACCACTCAATTATTGAAAAGAACCAATTATGTGTTGGAGGGAAATGCTATGTAATTGAAACATTGCTCTACTTCTATTGTATTCCATTCAGAGGAGAATCTTCACCAAAAAAATCTATATGAAGTGAATTAACCCGTGCATAGAATACAACTTGTCCTTGAGATCCTCCAATACTGCAATGCTTTTCTTTCCCAGAAAATAGCATTCCTCCTTATATATGACAGGAGGACAATGATACATCGTGGAAAAATCATCTTCACGAGTAAAATAAAACAATGTGTTTCGCCTCGTTTAATTAATCATGGCAACTTTATCCCCTACCCATGAAATACCAACAACATATTGATGTGGACGCATTCATTGGTTGGAAGTACAGCCGTAGAAATAAAGTACCAGCAGCACAGGAGTAGCCAGATTAGGCTTTATTTCGGGCAGTAGTTATCTTTCTAAGTTTAGTAAGAATAAAAATACTAATAGACAATCTCTTAAATAAGTCTTATTGGGATTGAGTATCTTTAGAATCCTTATTTTTATGAAACTATGTAGGCTATTAGTCTTAATAATTTTATTCCTTTTTCAACTATCCTGCTATAATATAAAGCAGGAGATTATAGAATAAAGGGTATTGAGTATTTTATTCAAGGAAAACGTAGGAGAGTTAGTGTTCTCTGAAACAAACCATCCTTATGATCTGCCATCATAGGTTCTTCAAGGAAGAATCGAAACTTGAACAAGGGAAAGTTAAAAGACTTCCCCGCTAATCGACCTGTGACGAGATCCTTCACTCGGGACAATAACACATATATAGCAGTTTGAACAAGTTGAGAGAGATGAGAAACACATTGTCACTTGCCACCGATCAATTCTTGGAAGGTTTATTTTAACTCTTGAAAATATATTATCATTTTGCCGAACAGACAACCAACAATGTTTGGAGAAGTGCATCTGATAGTGCTTGAATCTCAATCGGATGGTAGAATTTGCAGGTATGACCCTTGAATGGCATTAAGTATATGGATATTTATAAGTTAATACATTAGCTGGAGGTGGTGGAGGTTGAATAATAACATCCATCATCAAGCTCCAGGATTCGCAAACCAGACGAATGGTACCAATTACAGCAGGGTCAATGAAAAAGAGGTGTGGTGGAAAGATAAAATTATTCTGAGAAACAACGTAGGAAATGAAATATTTAATAGATTGCTCAGAATTCTAATGATTTTATCACATGAAGGTGAATCATGGTACTAGTATATGTCTCTTTTAGATTATTATTATTATTATTAGATTATTGATTACTTGACTTTGTTATTGTCACATATATAATTTTTGACTAAGAAATAGATTTGACAAAAGTATTGGAAGCATTAGAGGAGAAAGAATCAATTAATTGTTCAGTCATACCCTTCACTTGTCTTGCGTCATGCAAGGGATTGTAGATACAAAATTTATACTGGAAGCTGAAATCGAAACCCTTCAAATTAATTCTCAAGTTACTTCATCATCTTCAGCCTTTTTGTCCTTACTCATTTGCAGTATGGCCATCGTAATCATTTGCAGAATCTGTACTACTTGCTGGATTTATAATTGCTAGTATAACATAAAATTAATTCTACAAATGTATACAGTCAACATTATCATATTTTATCACAAATTCGATAGTTTTGTCGTGACATGCAGAGCTTGGAAGTATGGGCCTGAGAAACTGCCCATTACATAATATGTTTTCTTTCGTTTTAAACAATCATTAGTTCCTATTCCTAACCTTAATTAATGCATGTTTCATCTTGGAGCTAATGTTGTTTGATTAAGTATAACCTACTTAATCGAATCAACTATTATAATCTGGGATAGCAAAACTTTTTACTCTCTTGATAATCTCCCTTTCTGGCTTCTGCTCAGCTATGAATTCGGTGTTCTAAGAATATAGTAGTGTTGGGAGTGTCTAAGTAAAAGGGTAGAAATGAATAGCATGGAGTTTGGTTCTTGTCCCGAGATAAAAGAGACGTATTCTCATAATATGAACATGGTTGTCAAAAGAAACAGAATCATGAAGGATTGAGATCCACTCATGTTTTTTTTTAAAATAAAAAATAAAAAAATCAGTCATATTTATTAAACTTAAATTGTTGAATTCAAACTAAATGATCATGATTTAGTGCATTATAAAAATAAAAACATCTTGCTTCTTTAATATTTTATTTTCTCACTTAATTTTAAAATCAATAATAAAAATTGAAAGGTAGTCAAATTTTATTTATTTTTTTAAATATGAGAGGATCCAAATCCATTAACAATATAGTTTTTAAAATAATTTACGGCTTTTTTAAATAAAAAAGACGAAACGAACATGAAGAGATATGACATGAATTATAAATTATTATTTTTTTCCTTCAAAATAACCTCTTAAACTTTTTATATTTTTCAAGTCATTTCCCCACTTGAATTTGGATAGGAACCAAATAATGAGCTCTCTTTTTTGTTGAATTTGGCAATTGACGTAATACATCATCATCATGGCTGGGAGTGGCAATTAGAAGATAGGAATTTGGAAAATTCATGACTATGTGAGGACACTGGGATTCGAAGGCGGGAATCGAGCAATATTCAACGCAAATGCGAGGGAAAAAAGAAAAGCAGCGTTTCCAAATAAAGACCAGTACCAAATTACTAACAAGCAGTAAAAGCACGTTACATTTTAGAGAAAGAAATGAAATCAGCGTTTCGAAACGCTTACTTCTTCACAGTGTCACTCTCTCGTTCTTTAAACCCTAACCCAAGCCCAAATCTCTCTCCCATTTTCCACAAACCCCCTCTACTTTCCCTCTCCACCACCACCACCTCTCTTCCACTCCCTCTCCTCATTTCTCCTCGCCGAAACGCATCGTGTCGCTCGTTCTCCACAACTCTCTCAATGTCAGGCGGTGCTGATTCTCCCTCGCCCTCACTAGACAAACAATTCGAAGAGTTCCGTTCGCAAATAGAAGAATCAGGAAGCTTGCGCGAAAAGATTCGAGCTGTTGTCCTAGAGATCGAGTCCACCAGTCGATTCATGCACTCTGGTCTCCTTCTCGTTCACCAATCCCGCCCTGTTCCAGGTTCTCAAAACAACACCGTTTTCTTTTCTCTTAATGCCCATAAGATTTTTTTTTTAAATCTGTGTGTGATTTGATGCAGAGGTTCTAGAGAAAGCAAATGCGCAAATTGGAGAGCTAAAGGGGCTATATAATAGACTTGCTGAAATTTTTCGTGAATGTCCTGGCCAATATTACAGGTAGCTAAGTTTCTGGGGGCATTTTCAATTTTATTCGGGTTTATTTTGGTGTATTTGGGTTGTAGTGATTGCCTTGCTGCATAGGTATCATGGTGATTGGAAGAGTGAAACACAAACTGTTGTTTCCTTGCTGGCTTTTTTGCATTGGTTAGAGACTGGCAATTTACTTTTGCACACTGAAGCTGAGGAAAAACTTGGCTGTATGTTCTTATTCTTTTATCTTGCTTACAAATTATGATTACTAGTAGTAGTTAACAAATGTTGTCAATAAATTACTCACTTGCCCATGCTTTTCTGTGGTTTTTCTTGTTGCTTTTGCAGTGAACAGCTCGGAGTTTGGCTTGGACATTGAGGACTATCTTATTGGTAAGCAATTTCGTCAAAAAAAAAAAAAAAAAAGTCTGATTTGTGTCGTAATGTCTATGAATTAGGCAATTAGGCTTTCTTGTCTTGGTGGAAGCGGGTTTCCGGAAAAAAATCAGGGATTCTAGTATACTTGTAACGATATGGGCACATTTCAAAGCAAGCCAAAAGAATTTAAATATTCACATGACTGACATATAAAAATGTCGGTGTTAGTGGTGTCTGATTGTTTGTTATTGTGTGTTGACCTGCTTAGCTTATAAGTGCAGGTTGTGTCCATTTGACTTGACCAGCAAATGCTGAACAACATCTGGAGGCCACTTTATTGAATTGCTTGTTTCCTGTAAATTAATACTAAGTTGAAATCAAACAGTTTGAAGGTGGACAGCCCCATATTGGAATAATATAGAGAAGATCGGCATGGCCCTTGCACAAGGATGGCATGCATAAATTGAAATGGTCCAAAATTTTTATTTGTCAGAAGAAGTACCAAGTTGAAGTCAAGCAGTTTATTTTGAATTTCTGGGCATTGAACCCATGGTTCAGACTTCTAAACCTTTATTTTATTTAAATTTTTGGATAATAAATTTTCATTCCATGCTTCTGTGTCATAGATAATCACAATCAAGATAACAGTAGTGAATGCTTCTGTGCGTGTATTTGTTTCAAAGTTAGTGACATGCATTATACCCTTCAATTCATGCTTGTGTGTCCTATATAATGCCATATAATCAAGATACCACAAGTGAATCCTTCTGTGTGTTTATTTGTTTCAAAGTTGGTGACATGCATTATACGTTTGTCTGCCGTTACCCTGGTATAAAGATATTTAGAAATATAATAATAAATCATTCCAGATAACACCTGTTCCAGTTATTATAATATGTAATGCCTCTTTTAATTGCCATTTGTTTTGAAATTATCAGTCTTTATTTGTAGGATGTGAAGTATAAAAGAATCAGTGGTAATTAGTTTGTGGCTGCATCATAAATGATCCGTCCTGTTGTTTGATATTCTGTTCTCTTACTTTAAACGCTGATGTTGAAAATTCTCTCTTATTTGCCGTTGGCTTCGAGATAGTCTGTCTTTATTTGTAGGATGTGAAGTATAAAAGAACCATAGTGGTAATTAGTTTGTGGCAGCATCATAAATGATCCTTCCTGTTGTTCGGTATTCTGTTCTCTTACTTTAAATGCTGATGTTGAAAATTCTCTGTTTATACAGGTGTTTGCTTTATGTCCAATGAAATGGTAAGAACTATTTTCGGATTTTCAAAAGGATATCTTACACTTACAAGCTGCAGGTTCTTGCGAAATTTAATGAAACATGGGCTGCTGCCTATGTAAACATATGAGCAGTGGATGTGCTTGTCAGTCAGTCTGTTGAAATTACATCTCAGCAATTGATAAAGTCTGCACAAAAGAGCTTTTAATGCAAATGTTTGTATTATTTATTTATTTATTATTATTTTTTTTTGGGTGCAGCCTAGGTTTGTTGTGAACCAAGTGACTGCTGGGGACTATGATTGTCCTAGAAAGGTGTTGAAGTTCTTGACAGATCTTCATGCAGCCTTCCGTATGCTCAATCTCCGAAATGATTTCCTGCGGAAGAAGTTTGATGGTAGCTATTTTTTTTGTCATTTTACTTTTTTTTTTATCAAGTATATAGTTGACTTAATGAATATTTAATTTCCCATCTCAGGTATGAAGTATGACCTAAAAAGAGTTGAAGAAGTGCATTATGATGTTAAGATCCGAGGTTTGGCGGCTACGGGTGATTCAAATGGTAATCAAGGAGTTGCAGATGGTCAATCATAGGTTACAGAAGTATCAAACTGTTGGTTACCTCTCCACTCTAGACAAAATACTGTAGATTCACTCTTTTGAGGGATGGTCCGAGGAGGATGGCCATACCAGACTGTAACTGAATATCTTAATCCAGAATTTTGTTTGCTGAAGGAGAGGATAAGTAATTTTGATGAAGGCGCTCTCTTTGAACATGTGCATTGTTTTTTATGTAGAATCTGAGATGGAAGGCTCCCTTCTTTTTTTTTTTTTTTAACAAATCATAGGATTTGAAAAGGGGTTTATACTATAGCATCCAAATAATCCCCATGCAATTGCACATAGGTCATTAGAGTGCCCTTGCTGAAGTTGGTTTATCTTCCCTTAGCTGTGTAAGGTGGATGACAATTCAATATGATTTGTCAGGATCTAATATGGAGAAAGGTGAGCTTATAAATAAGAGGGACGAAGGTGATTGTGAGAGGAATTATTCAGAATACTGTGTACATCTCCTTACAAAAACATGAGACTTGAAAATTATTTTTGTAGTGGGTTCTATATTTTTATGAGAAAATAGGGTACAACTCCTGGCATAACTAATAATTTCTTGGTTCTATGATAGCTGAAAAACAAATGCATCTAACCAACTGATAGGAATTTTGATTAGTTGTAATTGATTTCAACGCTGGTTGATGTCCCTGTCGTCATTTACGTCTATATAACTCTAACGTGGTAGATGCAATCTGCCACTTATGTGCGATTCCTATGTCAAGGGTGGTACAAGACTCGTATTTCGTTCAATCATGCTGATGGGACATGGGGGTTCTATTTGTCACTTGTGGTTTTTATATTCCTTTTTCCTGCTGGTGAGGTTGTGCTGTTTTGTAAAAAATTTTATAATCCAGCGATAATGATTTTTTGTAACTAAAAGTTATGAATTTAAATTCTAAGATTTTATAGTTTAATAACAATGATCTTTTGTAATTAGAAGTTACGAATTTAAATTCTAATAGATTAATTTTACAAGATAGTTTTAGATGTGTGTGGTGAAAAAAAAAAAAAACAATGTTATCTAGCTTGGGGTTTTCTATGCTCTATGGTGGCAAATCCTAAGAGGGACGGACTAAGAAGCGGATGCTGATGGATACTGACAGAAATCACACACCTTTATCATGACTATAAATGTAATAATTAAGAGCTCTGGGGAACCATCCTAATTCTCCAATCAAATCATCAATATGCTTTTGAGAATTGAAGTCGCGTTATACCTTGCTAGTCAAAACCAATTACTATTAAGGGTGAAGATGAGGCCTTCTAACTACTATCCATCAAAACAAAGTTGCCTCACAGATGCGGCATTTTTTCCTTTGGTGGACAATTCATTTCCAATTGTCACTAAACTTCAAATAAAGATTATTAATCCATTTCTACTGTCTTAAATTGCTATCAATCATTGCTCATTCTTTACTTTCACATGCAACAGAGTCATAATTAATTCTCTTTTGAAGGCCGACTATTTTGTTGAGTGCACCTACATAGGCCCGCTCATGGTGGGCCTATAAAGCCCAAAAGTCAAAGCCTATGACTGGATCTGGAAATTAAAGTTCAGTCAGTGGTGCAGCCAACAGAGAGCTAACCTGTGGGCTACCTTACTGAGCAGGAAACACCAAGTGTCCAAAAAGAGTCAGTTGTATGACACGGTTCCGCATGCAATATAACAGCTATGGCCTTCATCCTTCTTACTCCTTGGTGACCTTACCCTTATCAGCAGCCAGCTACCAGCATCGTAACGCCGTAATGACGTGGAGCACCGCAAAACAACGTAACTGGCGTTAAATCCTTCTAATGACATCCACCTGTGCACAGCCGGACTTCAAACCCAAATTATATCGAAACAAAATAAAACAAACGCCTTTCCTTTTTGTCCAAAAATATTTACACTAGTAAAAGAAAAAGGAAAAACATTTCGATTCCGTCCAATAAAAAGAGAAAAATAAAAGAACCAAACGTAAATTACATTTCTAGTTTTTACATTTCCATTTCGTGCCGCTTTTTGGCGGTTTTGTGCTCTTTCGCTTTCGAACATTCCGTCGAATTTCCTTACTCGCACTCACTCTCTCTCTCTCTCTCTCTCTCTCTCTCTCAGGTCAGAATCAGATCTTCTTTCTTCCTCCATACTATCTCCATCTGTCTATTTTATTTATCTCTGTGTCTCATTTACTAGATCGTGTTTTGATTTTGATTTTGTTTTTGTGAAGTTAGAGGCTTTGTAGATCGGTGTCTTTGAAGCTATCTGGATTTCTTCGCTGATGATTGAGGTTTGTTTTTTTTCCTTCTTTTTTGCTTTATTTTATTTTTTATTTTTGTACTTACTTTACTCTTTTGTTTACTGTCTGTTTGGTTGCAGAGAAAACAAAGGAAAATATTAGAAATTATTTTTTATTCATTTCTTTAATTTTTTAAGTATTATTTTTTTAGTATATACACTGCTTAGCTTAGTTGATGTTTTTTTTTTTTTTTGGAAAAAAATAAAACGGAACTAAATTAATTTTGAGAAAATAAAATTAAATGCTAGTAATTATTTTATCGATCGGCATTTTTTAGCAGTCACACAGAGTCTTAAAATTATTTTTTTTTTAATTCAATTTCGGATAAATAGCGCTTAAACTTGTGTTCGTTGTTTGTTTATTATTATTTTTTTTAACATTTTTTTCTTGCTTGGATAGTGTCTTTAACGAGCTTGTATGGTCGGAGGCTAGGTTTTAAGACAGTTTTCCACGGCATTTGCCTTTGTCTTACAGTCATTTACTTGTTTTCTATTATTTTATTATTTGTTATGACTTGCTACTCGATTTTATTTAGGTACTGATTTTTCAATTTGCTTCTTTATTTTTGAACGATTCTCTTTGGGGCATGTTTGGATTATTTGTTATGAGTTTGTTCATGATTAATGACAGTACTAGTTGTCATGATACCTAATCAAGTGAATGGATAAAAGTGAGTTTCAAAAAGAATATAGACTTCTCAATAACAACAGAGCCTCAATTCCAAACTAGTTGGGGCCATTTACATGGATCCTTCTGTGCCATTTAATTCATTCATATACCAAATCCACCAGCATATTCAGAGTACAGACTTCTTGTTGATTGCAATTATTCTACAGGCAGATTGGTTTGGTGGCAGAGTATAATGACATAAAAAAGCTTAGAGAGATGAGAAATAGCATATATTTTTGTTACATCGGATTTGCTACTGGATGATGAATTTATCAAGGTACTCGTGGGCATGGCTATCCTTTCTGGCCCTGTTTGGCATCCTGGAGGAGCAAGCTGTTGAGTGCTGTCCTGCATTAGAGGGACAAGAGTTTCAATTATCTCTAGTGACATGATGGTAGGTCAGAGACATTGTAGCATGATAGTTTCCCCTAGCTTTTGAAAAGGACAGCTAGTAGGGCTTTAATATTCAAGAAACTCCTATCCAGTTCTAGCTAGTAAGCTGTTATGAATGGGAGAACGTAAAGGTCGAAGAAACTTTAAAATATGACATACTAGAAAAGTAGAAAAAAATAATAAGTTTGTGGTTAGAGCTGAATGTTATGACTGGCAGGTATATCTATACTATGCAACTCTTAATTGTCAAATGAGTGTTGAGCTCCTCACATTTCATAAAACCTAGCTTAGAAGATACTGACTTTCGGAAAGTGGAAACGATTTCATATCTAATAAGAGCAAGATGCATTGAACGTGGCACGTGCTTACTCAGCTTCCCTTGTACCCTACATTGAATCTTTTTACTTTACATTGATTGTTTAGTTCTTTGAATTAGATTATTGACATGCAATTATTATGTGGACTGTCAAATCAGTCATTCACTTTGGGTTTTTATACTGGCCAGCAGATGGTAATTTCTGTCATATTTCCTTTCAGTTCTTATTCTAGGAACTGAAGAAAGCTTGGTGCGTGTTTGGAAATGAGAATTCATGACTAGGATGAATGAGATGGATCAAGAAGCACATTTTGCAAAGAAGTTTACTAATATGAAATGTCAAAGGGTGAGAAAATTATTGTTATCAGTGTTTCTTTCTACTGTCATAATACTGTTCTCTGAAATGCTTGGAATCATGCTATGCATGAGGGATATTTCCTCAGCCTTTTTTTGCTGGTTGCTATATTGAAGGGAATGATTTACTTGATAATCTGGCCTACTTACAAAGACAGAGGAGGTTGGTTACATGTCAGTCAAACATACTGGATTTTAAGTGGGAAATAATGATCAACGTTTTACAGAAATTAAACAGTCGTTGGGTTACTGTTTTTCAATATTTCTTCAAATTTGGTGATGGGGCAATGGGCTCTGCAATTAAAATGTGCTGATGTCTAAATCACATGATTTGAAGTGTTTGTAGTTGGGAAAATCTATATTCCTTACTTTGCTGACCCTTTCGGATTTAACAATTGTTGGACAGACATTCTGGTTATTATATGGGAAAAGTGATTTCGTTGAGGCTGTGTGTGATATTGTGTGTGGATTTGATCTGTTGGTTGATATTGCTTGGGTCATTTTAATTGATGACTGTAGGTATGTTGCAATATGTTTTTATTGAAAGTTTCATTCTGTTCATAATGGCATATAGATGACATACTTTTGGGATAGGCCTTTTCGGAATATGATGTACATTTCCTTGGTTCATGGTTTTGCTGATGTTTCTTGTTAACAAGTAATTTTCTCATACAAGTAATATTGCGTCTTTCTTCAAATATCTGTGTCAAGTTGTCATTACAACAATTTTTTATTTTCTTTTGTTAGGTAAAGGTAGACGATTCCTCTCCTCCTGCATTAGAAGATGAAGCAATTGAAGTACAGCACTTACTTGCGGAACCTAAAACTGATCATTTTTCAGTAGATGGTGTATTATGTTTGGGCAAGGAGAATTCATCAAAATGCTCAGAGATAGATGGTTTTTCATATGGATTTGATGGTGGCATGAAAAGAAATATTGGTAATTTTCTAACTGTTTATTGCTTTCTTTCTGCTGATGCTTTTATTTGTAAAAACTACTTTACATCTCCAGTGTGTGGTTGGTTGGTTTTGTGTGCATGCGCACATGTGGGTATGCATGGGACACAATTATTCAAAATAGATGGTTACTTTTTCTTTTTTCTAGTGTGATAAAAGATAGAAAGGTTTGACCTGTTTTCCTTGGGTTCTTAACGTCCGATACCAAAGTGTGTGTTTATCCTGTCTGGGCTGGGAATATCATAATGTTAGGAATGCAGGGGTAAAAGAGCAGAGAACCTCAGATGATATACTCATACTAAAAACATGTACGTTTCGTGGATAAGCTCATTTTACAAAGTTGGGGTTTATTCAGTAAAGAAGGTTCTGTGACTTGGTTTGTCCTGGCTGTCCACTTCTGCGTCCTTAACATGAAAGCATTACAAGGAAGCATTTTCTGCCTTGCACTCTAAATATATCTGTGCATTGTTACATTATTTGTTCTCTAAAATCTTGGATATGCTCCAACTAGAATCCTGCACATGAACCTTTCATTATGGTCATAAATTCTACAGGCTTTTATTGATTTTTTTTGGCTACTTTTTAAATAGTTGAAGGTATTCCATTAGTCCTTTTAATGATGATGATCTTTTTTCTATGGGGTGTTTCCTTAGGCGGGCTGCATCCTAATATTACTCAAGGACCAGATGACTTGGATCTTGGAGTATGTGCTTCTCCTTGTCAATACTTGTTGTTTCAAAATCCTTTTTATCCTACTCTTTTCTTCTCATGAAGATTAGTATAATCTCTTGTTCCTCAAGTTATGCCCTACTTGCTTAGCTTTGTACTTCTTTACTTCAAGTAATAATTTTATGTGCATCATGATCCTCTTATGAAGTACTGTTTAGTAGGTTCTTGATGGATTCCTGGATGAAGTTGATGAGGTGGATGATATTCATGCAGCTAATGATTTCTCTGGGGCATATGAAGATTTTATTTTGGGTAAGTCTCGTGGCTTAAACCTAATGGTTCTTAAGTGATTGTCATTTTTTATGCATCAGATATAAATATTCATATGGAATTTTTTTTCCTTTTTGGAACTGTTGAATGCAGATATCGAATTAGCTGAGAAGGTGTCTTACCTAGATTATGCTCCACGTGAAGGATCACGGTTAAGAAACTCAAGTTCAGAAAGTCAATCCCCTGGATGCAGTGGAATTAGTAATGGTGCTGTTGGGATGTCAGAATCGTCAACAGCAACTCTTCCAGAATCTGAAAGCAAAAATGGTTGGCATCAGAAGACAGTCAAATGTAAATTACGGCGCTCTTCTGTTGACAAATGGGATAGTCAAGAACCAGCTGAGGATAGTGTGTGCCCCACTTCAGATGATCTAGAGGATCTTGGTGGGTTGGATGATGATGCAATGCCTTTGATAAGTCTTGTATCTGGTAAGAATGCAAAGAAGGTTGTTCAAGCTGCCAAAGTTGGCACGTCACTCAGACAGAAGAGGTTGCGGAAGCCTACAAAGAGGTACATTGAAGAATTTTCAGAGCTCAAGTCAAAACATGAGATGGAAAGACAAAACAATTTGTCTGCCACTTCAAAGGATAAACGCCCAAAGATCAGATCTCATAATGAACTTCATTGTGAGGGAGCATTGACACATACTCCCAAGGAGGATTCTTCTACCGAGAATTTTATTCAAGCAACATCTAAAGGTACTGTAGATCCTTCACATCTAAGATCAAAGCCTGTCTCTGCAAGACAAACAAATTCTTCAGTTATTTCAAATGGTAGACGCTGGAGTATTAAATCCCAGAATGAACCTCATCAAATGAGAGCAGTGAAATCTGCTCCAAAGGAGTTGTCTTTTACTGGACCTAGTGCTCAAGCATCATTTGAATCTCGACCACGGAGGGGGCGTCCAAAGAAACCCTTGCCTCTTTCGGTAGGGAAGCAATTCTCATCTTCTTGAACCTATTCTATTAGTTCTAGGAAATGGAATACTTAAACTCTCCTATCTCCTGCATTTATTTGTGTGCACTAATGGAGTGTGTTTGCATGCATCTATTAGTTACTTTGGGCAGTTCAAGGGTGCATGTTGCAGCATTTGAATTAAATGCATATATATGCCTTACATAGACTTCTAATTTCTATTGCTTGTGTTTTCACTCCTGGCATTATATCCCAACTCAATGCAGCTTTTCTAAACTTGAGTTCTCAAATAGATGGGGTCCTTTCTATCAATTCTATTCTGCTTTGGGTTATGACCATTTTGATGGAAACAGTGGTTCGTTTTGTGCTGGCTGTCAGCGTACTGTATCCCTTTCTTACTTGGGCTTGAGGATTGTTGTGCCTGATCTTTAGCTGCAACTGAGGTGGAACCTCTCCTGGAAGCATATGCATACAGTAAAATGCATCCTTTTATTATACAATGTTGTGCATCAATGCACTGCGAGTGAAAGGTTAAAGATTCAGAAATTGGATGAAATGATTGTATCCATATATTTCACCCAATATTTGTTTAATAAAAATATCTCTCTTGACCATCAAGCTTAATTTTCCGTTTTGACCATGAAGTTCACTTATAAAGACCTTTGATTACCTTTGATTGGTAAGAGTTTTGAATTCTCATACTATCCATTCCCTTTCCTGAACAGTTTCTTGAATCTGAAGATGATGAATCTGAAGATGACCGTGTTAAGAAAAGAAGATATAAGAAGAGCAATGACAGAAGGAAGCATCAAAGAATGTGGACGACTCCTGAGGTGATGAAGTTGATTGATGGTATTGCTCAGTATGGAACTGGAAGGTGGACTGATATAAAGAAGCTCATGTTCTCATCGACTGCTTATCGAACTCCAATAGATCTGAGGGTACTTCTAATCACTTCATCAATTAAAGAAGTCCATCTGTTTCATGATTCCAATCTGGTTACTAACTGTAAACTCTGCAGGACAAATGGCGGAATCTCTTAAGAGCTAGCGGTGCGCAGAAACGAAAATCAAACAAGAAAGAGGTTAGTTTTTCCCCCCTGCTGGAGATTTGTGTCTTTAAGTAGTGCTTCTTCTCTCCATTAATTAGATTGTTTTAATACGATGCAACATGGTTGTTTGAGTATAGTAGCCAAATTACTAGTTAAATTTTATTCAGGATATCTTTAATCCATTTTTTCTTACATGCCTATGGGATTTCATGATCCAAAAACAGAATAAAAATAGGACACTAACCAGTTGGTTCTCTGTATTCCATATATCAATAATTGATTATATTTGAGATTTTACCCAATTGGCTCTGGTTCTTCTCAATCTGTTAAGGTGTGTAGTTCCTGAAGTTTTAATCAATTGGAAAAACTTTGTGCTGGTTCCTAAAATCAAATGATTGTTAATTCAAAATATTGTTATCCTAAAGTCCAGAGTTACTTAAAAGAAAGTTTTGTTATATTATCTAGTGAATGTATTCGAGGTTGTAAATGTAAGGTGTAACTACTTCCAGTTAATGAGGTTTAACTACTTCTGGTTAAGTATTCATCTTGTGCATCATTGTTTACCTTGTATGTGACAGCACCCATGTATTGAATTTACTAGGGTGACACTCACGGTTCTGCATGTATTGTGCCACATATGTGTGGAAGTGGAGGCAGGATAGGTAAATTTAACTAAAGAAGTAACAAGTCAAACTCCCACCAGTTTTTATTGCAGAGTGCTTGTAAGCATTTGGGGTTAATTCTGGGGCTGGGTCTACATGAGCAATAGGTTAGGAATCTATGCGAAATGCATCTGACTTGTGGAAATGAACAAGCAATACGTTGTGTGTTTTAAGTGCAACACTGTTTTGTATGTTGAAATGCATTTTTAAGGCAATAGGAAGATGTACATGACCACTTGAAATGCTTTTTTGGTGCTGCTGTAAGAATACATGTTAGTGTCATGGTAAAGTTATTAGTTTCTATTCTTCAAAGATGAGGAGTGACACAATTGTTGTGGCTAATGCAGGTTGAGGAAAAGCTAAAGGATGTGGTGCGATCATTACCAAGTTCTGTGTTTCGCCGTGTCCGTGAGCTGGCTTCCCTTCATCCATATCCAAGGTTTAGTCCTGGTGGGAGATACATTCGTAGGAAGAAGAATTGAACTTGAAGAATCACTTTATCTATCTGTCCTAAATCATAGAAGGGAATTTAGTTTTAAAAGGCTGAATATCAGTAGTCTTTCTTTTCTTTTCTGGCTGCGCACATATACTCGTCATGTTCTCGGATCTCCCAAAATACTTGATCACAGAATTTGATGATTGTTATACAATGTGAAAGTGGGCCCAGATTTTCGATTGTAATAGGCCTGGAAGGCTAACTGATCTTTAAACCAGTGTTCTTTCATGTAGAAGACTTATTTTCAGATTATCGCCCCGTGTATCAAGTATTCTAGGGGGAATGGGAGGCGATTTGAGGTGTCTCTCTGCAAGATTGTGCTAAGCTATATTAGGTTTTCTTTTGAGGCTCAGGGATTATGTTTTATGTTCTTGTGATTGCATAGGCATCTTGGATCTCCTGTGACATGGTCAAGCATATTGGTCTGTCAAGTACTCAATCATCTATTTCTCCTAATTTAGCCCTTTTTTAGGGTTTCTCAAAGTTTCAGCCATGGGGTGATCATGACTATTCTAGTACACGTGTTGGGCTATTTAATGAAATCACTGTGGCCTATTACAGAAGATGGGATGGGAGACATTTTGTTTCGTTGAAGGAACTTAAAACCTCTTTCCTGTTGGTGGTTAGGTGGACGCAACATAATGGAAGAAAAACAAAATGCAAAATCAACTTGACTCTACTGGCATGCGAGGGATGAGGTTGTGTGTGCAAGTTCTGGCAATTGTACCGTCGCAACAGGAGTTGAGGAAAGGGAGGTCTGCTAGAGCCCATAATGTAGCTCGGGGGAGGCAACAGGCAGCCTGATCTCGTGGGAGGTAATTGCTCGTGGCCCTGGGGTTGCCTGGCTAGCTGGAAATAAGCCCCCGTTTACGCCAGCATCAAAGCAGCTTCGGGTCCAACGCGACGGTTGATTATGATTCTCCAGCTCTGATTTCATAGAAAAAGTGGAGCTATTGGTTAATATAATGATGGTTCCCAACTCTCTAATCCCTCCTTTTCAAGTTCGGTCCAAGTTCCAAGTTCTCTCAAAGTGGAACCGTTTCGCTGCTAATTGTGATGTATGCCATCCTACCTCAGTAATCTGTTGGCTTCAAGGGTTATGTGAAGCTATGCTAGCTAGGGTCATAGCTATCATTGATCACATGGTAACGTATAATGCTACTTTAATACATAATTTTTTTTTGATTTTCATCGCTCGCATGACAACTCGCATTGAATTTCAGGAATCAGGAGCATACGTGACTGCTATATAGGAGATGCTATCAAACAAGGAAACCTATGCTATTATATATCTACAATAATCTCTAAATACTTGGAGAAAACAACAGCGCCACAAGAGTCGATAGACTAGGAACTCGGTATACGTACTACAAATGCATGTAGTCATTTCTCATGGCATGAGCAAGAGCTTGTAGAAACCAATTAAGTTGTATATATGTACATAGATCGTCTACTATAAGATATGCATATAATTTCATATTGGCCAAGCGTGGCTAGCTAGCTATAATTACCCACTTCCATCATCGCTGTTATCACCGTTATCTCCTTAACTGCCACTGCCAGTACCCCAGTCGTTGTAGTTTTGTCTAGGTATGCTATGGTGGTTGTCAATGTTTTTGTCTGGGCGGTAAACTTTGCTCGCTTTGCCTTCAACTGCTTTTCCCTTCCCAGCGTGCTGTCGCTGTTCTTGCCCATATATTCCACCGATCATGATTTCCCTTCTAGATGCTCCCATGCAATAGCTCACCATGATCATCGCAATCAAAATAAACACTGGCTTCACTTCCATACTTCAGCAACTTCCCTCTTGCTTATAGACCTACATTTCAAATTCCAAAATACATTGTGTTGGCAGTAGAGGGTTCGGGTTAGAACTTTATATAGTAAATTAATTTTCTAGGTTTGCATCGTCTAGTACTGTGACAAAAGAAATTATAGTCCCTACCAAATTAAAAATAGATACAAGTGGGATTATAACAAAGTCTCACCTATAATTTTTATAGCAAAATGTATAGTGATGGTCGAGAATGAGTTTTTTGTCCATATGCTATGCGGAAATCTCGATGGGAAAGCTCTACCTGTTAAGTGGAATTACTATCGATATCATCAAGTCAACAAAAGCATAATAGGTTTCCTGTTTGAGGCGCTTCATGACGTTAACATTTGATTTTATCTTAACTAGTATAATATAGAGGATGCCAGCGTGTGACACTACTGATTAATTTGTATTAATCCAAGCAATTGGAGTTACTTTGAGGTGATCATTGGATCCTTTACATACACATATGTGTGTGTATGTGTAGGATCCTCTACTTCGTGTAAAAACATCAACTTGCAACATAGCGCATTATTCTACTACAATTTCCCTCTAAAGTGAATGATGATAAGTGTCAACTGTAATGATGATAAGTGTTAACTGTTATTACTTATTAAAAAATCACACAAGGTTAAGTTAGAAACGAATTGCAAGTCATTTTGCAGCATGTGTCTCTCCACTCAAATATCCTAACCCACGACTCGACACTCCTTCTCAATGTACCAGCCCACGTAGAAATATCTTCTTGCTTTAAGCTTCACATCTTTATGCTTCAATGAGTAGCTAGCTTAATTCCACCGTGTTCTGGTGTACGATAAGACCTAATCTCGCTTTGATTCCGATAGTTCAGAAGTTAACTGTGGTTCAGAATTTTAATTTCCTTATATACATATTTTATACTCATTTTGTATTTGATTCAGTTATTTTGTAATATCTCCCCTTTGTTTATTAAATCACAAAATTATTTCAAAAAAAAAAAAAATTGAAATTGTTTTAGAAAACATTATAGACAAAAACAATGCCTTTGAATTGACATTATATTTGATGAGATGGTGATTCCATGGATTGTTTGAATGGTTGAATCTTGTTTCTTCTTAACTGATTGTAAAGTGTAAATTTATTCTTGTCTTGGAGTTTTGTGAGGAATATTTGCAAAATAAAGTTTTCCTTTAGGGTTTTAAAAAACTTTTCGATGGTTAATTTTGTGTACGAAAATAAGTGTTTATTCCGATTAGACTTAATAATATATCTTTAGATAAGTTTGGCCTCATTAAATTTAACGAATGTTTTTTTGCTATATTTAGAAAATATATATAGTGTTAGCTTGTATGTGTAGAATGTAGAAGATAGAATCTAACTTCCTAACATGTGTGAGGTTAAGCTTTATATAGTAGTAGGGGATGATCGACTTGCATAGAGTGAAAAGCGTGTTCATTTTTTCCTTAAGGGTTAAAGGGTCTTTCCCTCTATTTTTTAGCAAAGACTTCGATTGGAGTTTCTACAAGTTGAAAATCCTCCTATGTGAATCTCTTGTAAGCATTAGTGCTAGTACCATCACTTCGATAGTGGCGTATGGAGCAATGCTTTTCATTTAATGCTTGTTCTTTGTATTTCTTTCCCATATAGGAAGAACTATATAAACCCAAAAATTGGCAATGAGTTTGGCAAATGAGTGTTCTTAACTCGTAGGGTTTCTTTGGTATGGGGGTAGCATATAGGTGTATTTGGGACATGTAGGTCCTAATGAGGTGGTTGGTGAGGGGCACGTATCGGGTCGTATTTTTGTAGGTATACCAATAGCTTCCCCGAGTCTTTAGCAAGTAAGTCTTGCTTGAAGACTGAAATTATATGTAGATAATGCTTGATAAAATTCTCGTCATTTGATGGTTGTTTACTATGATAATCTTTGGTGAAGCTTCTTTCATTTAATGTATTTTTCTTTGGGTAGTCGTTGGTGAAATTGCTACTACATGATTATGGTTTTCTAGGTAATTTTTCAGCAAAATTGTTGTCATTTGATGATCGTTTTCCAAATAATCCTTGACGAAATTATTATTAATTTGATGGATGTTCCCCGGACAATCTTTAGCAAAATCCTATGTGTCTATCAATTGCTTATTTATCTATTTTAGATTAGACATTGGTGCATGATAGTTTTATTAAATACTTATAGTTTATGGATGATTACATTCTCACGTAAAAAGTCTAATCAACTCCGAATGAGAGGCTTTATGGGAAATAAAGTATTTAGGATTTGTCAAAACTCTTTGTATTCCTATCTTTCTCCTTGCTTTTGTGGGATATTTGACAATGGTTGATTGGTTCATGTTGAAAAGTTGTGTCTTTTGGGCTTTGGGCCTTCGGATATACTTGACAAAGGATTCCTCGCTTCTTTGTATATATAAATGACCACTAGTTGTTTTCTTTCTTTTAATTTCTTCAACTTACATTGTTTGCTTTTATGAGAATTTTTAGTGAGATGGTGAGAGTTTGCTTTTGTAGTCATTTTTTTTCTTGGAAAAAACTTAGCAATTCTCTTTCATTGTATTCCATTTTTAGATATGCTTGGTGAAGGATTCTTGCTTTCTTTTATATATATATCCACTAGTTATTTTCTTACTTATAATTTCTTCAACTTACATTGTTTATTTTTGTGAGAATTTTCAATGAGTTAGTGAGAGTTTGCTTTTGTAGTCATCTTTTTTTTTTCTTAGCAAAAACCTAGCAATTCTTTTTCATTGTAGTCCTTTTTTAGGTAAAGACTTTCTTTTTGAGCTATTCTTATTGTGAACTCTATAGGTAATATTTCCTTTATTTTTGTCTATTTAAAAAACATGAAAGATTTAAAAAGAGTTAGAGAGGTACCAAGTGTTATTCCCAATGGTGAAGGGCTAACTCGAGCGTCGATGAGGAAAACCCTAATATAAAAGAGTTGGTTATTCCTAATAGAATGAGGTTACTCTCTTCTCTTGATGAGTTTTGATGCTCATGCCAATGGGCATTAAAGATGGCCCTAACATGATGTTTAGTCACGTGATTAGAGCTTATAGTTTTGTTTTAAAGGTAGGTTACTATGCTATAATTCGTTGTCTTACCGATAGGATAGGGGCAATGACCCATTAAGTTTTTAATGAGAATTTAGAAATTATCATCCCTACTTGTATGATGAGGTGTAGGGTCAAACTTCCCTTCTTAAGTTTTTCAAGTCGTTCTTTCAAGGTTTTGGCATAAGCTTGTACCAATTTTTTCCTAAAGGATGAACCATACTTATGACTTTAAAAAAACATTTATCTTCTTCTAAAGATGTCCTTCTCTTAGAGGTTTTTTTATTTTCTTTCTATTTGAAAGAGGGAGGCAAAGAGGAAAAGACGATCCCATGTGTACACTCTTCTTCTTAGGGAATCTAGTTCTTTGAACAAGGTACTTTTAATATGTACTAATCTTCTTAGCAATTGGTGAAGGGATGGTTCATTGTTTATTATGAACGATCGATCTTTCATAGAGAAGATTGGGCTATGTGGGGATGCTTTCTACTTTGCAAAAATTTTAGGATGGCTTGTAATGATAACCCCTCTCTTTCTAGTAATGAGTTTTCTTTTTTGATTTCGATAAGATCACTGGAAAGTGTCTTCAATATTAACATATGTTACTAGGGTTGAAATTTGGTCGAGTGCATAAAGTGTAGTTATGCTAACTTTGTTTTTCTATTTACTCGTTATTAGTCTCTATTGCTTGGTTTTTAGCATGCATTTTTTTCTTTGATAGTTAATATTATTCTTTAAATGAAGCAAGCTCAGTTGGGATAGTGTGTTCTTCATATAAAATTCTTTGGTGTTGTACGATCCTTATTTCCTCTTAGTTTTATTGTTACTAAGAAGGTAGACTTGGGAGATGCCTAAGCCCACATGACTAAATAAAGGATTAATTCTCCTTCTTCGGTGGTAGAGGTAGGTGCTTCTTCGGAATACAACTTGGGGTCTCTCTCTATATCTAAGCTTGTATCTTTGATTTATTTTTTATTTTTTTTGATAAAATGGTCGATACTTCTATGGTAGTGGTAGTTTTTCTAGTGGGTCTTTCTTAGTCGTAAAGTTTTGCATTGTATTTTTTAGTTTTATTGCATAGGATCCAATATCTTTTTTCTTTTATTTGCATAAGATCAAACTTTTTTTTTCTTTGTATAGGATCTATCATCCCTCTACTTTAACCTTTTCGGGACTCTAGTAATAATCACTTTTTACGAGCTTTTATATAGTGTTTTTTTTAGCTGAATGACAAGTTATGAGGTCTTTAAGTTTTTTAACCAATATTTTTTTAGTAACTATTTTGAGTCTTTTTTTTTCTTTTTGTATTCGAGTATCCTTAAATCTAGGTAAGATCAATATTGCATTTTTGTTAGATACTAATCCTAGTTTAAAAAGAGATTTTAGCTCTTAAGAAGGAACTTTAGCATTAAGTAATAAGTGTTAATGTCGACATTGATTTCATAAAGAAAAAGTCATCTAAATATGACATTATCTGCTAAGCTCATCTCTATTACCGTGAAGATAGAATGTGGCGTCACACACCGAAGGGAAGTGTCCAAGGTCATTAGGACTTAGATGGCTCCTTCTACAAGAACCTATCCTCTCTATATCCTCTTAGTGGCATGTCGGCTAGCTAGAGCTTTGAGAGATCTATCTTCATGTCGTCAAAAGCCTCATTTGATAAAACACCGACAATATGTTTAAGTCTATCAAAATCTAATAAATCCGAGAGTTGAAGACCATCATAGAGATTACTAAGGCATCATTATGGGAGAGCGTTATTTCCTCTACATTTACATAAGTGAATATGATAGACCCATGCCATAGAGTGGGATTTTTGTTGATGTCGAAGA